TCCTCCAGTACCAATTGTAATGCCCATCATTCGATGTGTTTCATAGTACAAGAGTAATTTGTTGCTGCTGTTGTTGTACTGGTGCTAGATACACATGCCCAGCTCTTGACGAGGAGCATGGAGGCATTAGTCAATTCATCGCTCATGCTGCTAATTCTTATTTTCTCCAATCCAGCCTTGCTGTTCCTGTAAGTATCAGCACAATTAGCGTCTTCTTCTAAGTAGCACAAAATCAGAGTCTGTCTACTTTTTTGCTCTTTGAAAAAATATGCATTTTGAAAAAAAAAGACTAATTTCCTTCCAACAGTCCTGATTCATTTATTTTGGCAGTGGGTTTGTTTCCTGGGTACTGCTGCAGGCTTCAGCGAGCCCTTTGTAGTACCTGCTGGCTCAGGCACAGAGTGGAGCACACTGGAACTGTCTGCAATTCCGCCACACGTCTCGCCTTCCAATAAGGTCACTCTGCACCATGCCTGGGGCAATAGCATAATAGGATTTTGGTGTTCAGCAAGGAGTTAGCAATTCAGTGGTGGACAAAAACACTGAGATCATAAAGCTTTCTTTGAAGAATATTTAGAACAATTTACATTTATGAAACCTTTTTGTAGAGTGGATGTCTCAAAGCACTTTGTAAAGCCTGAGCTGGGAGGGAGTTGGGGGTTAATATGGCTGAAGGCGCAGTCAAAGAAATAAGTCTTTTGATGGATTTTGAAAGCCAAAAGAGAAGGTGGAGGAATGTTAGAGGATTTACAGAGGGCAGGTTGGTTGGCTGAAAGTTCACCCACTGATAGTGAATCAGAGTGATGGGGGAGGAGAATTACAGAAGATCACAGAGGTACAAAACTATAAGGTCATTTGAACATGAGGTCAAGGATTATAAAGTCAACCCGCTGAGGAGATAGTGGAGCCAGGCAAGGATAGGAATCATTGCGTCATGGAGCATAGTGCGGAAGTAGATATGGGTAGCAGAGTTTGGGATGATCTGGAGTTTGCAGAGGCCAGAGAGCAAAGAATTAGGGAAGTGAAGGCTGGAGGTAACAACAAGGCAGATGAGGATATTGCCAAGCCCAGCATCTGTGAAACCACATGTTGGGGTGTAGAGTACAGCAGATATTCTAGCAGATAAATTTGTGCTCTAAAGTTCAGTTATGGACAAAAGCAGCGAGATCAGCTTCAAAAAGCTCACATTTGAACTTTCTCCCAACGAAGCAAATATAGTTTGTTGTTGTTGTTGAACAATTCTCAGAAACAATTCTCATTTATGAAGCCTTTTACATAGGGTGGATGTTGCAAAGTGTGCAGGAAGGGAAAGGTAGTGACAGAAGTGGGTGATTTTGTATTGATTGAAGAAAGTGGACTTGATCAGAGCCTGGAAATAAGATTTAAAAGAGAGTTGATGGTCAAACAAAACAGCAACATTCCGCATAGGCTTCGTGAGTTAGAGCAGGCAGCCAGGAAAGCAACCATCATCTGAAGTCAGAGGCATTGAAGGGAGCCAAGCAGTAAAGTCTGAGTTTTGTTGAGACCAAGCTAGGGCACATCTTAGTTTTCACTTATTCCTTAGTTAGAGCTTTGAATTAGATTTTTAAAAATTGTTTCCTTTCTTTACTGTAGTTTTATGGTCAGTAAGTTTTTTTATGGTTAGCATGTGATTTGGGCCAATATGTTTTGATGGTTTAGTGGTTTGTGCATACAGCGTTACCACCAACCTTGAGGTCCCACTCTATAGCGCAACCAACCCCAAGTGTCATCAACCTGCATATACCACCATTCGCCTGTACAACCTAAACATAACTAATAAAGTCAAAAGCAAAGGTATAATAGACTTGCCAAGAGTCACACATTAGCAGCTGTAGTTTAGTTTTAAATTTGGAACAATTTGATGTGTGTCCAGTTCATAAATCATGCTCCATTTATATTAGTGGATTGGAAGCTTTGTCTCTGACGCTGGCTTGTACCATTTTCCTCACATTAGCTCTCTCAATTATAATTTTCAAAGGAAATTCAACGGCTTCTGCTTGATATCAAATTTGTGTTCTGGCTGGTTCATTGAATAGAATAAATAAGACATTGAGCTAAAATTGTGCATTTTTCTATTACATTTGCTCTTACTACTTCTAGCTAGAGGGATATATGGAAAATACATCCAGGATCTTGTTCACTCTCCTTGGTGCCATCATGCATTGGTCGTGGATCCTTCAGCAGAGATATCTTGGAGAAGGAAGCTGCTGCTTATCTTCTCTGTCCCTATTAATGTACATTTGAAGTTGGATATCACAAGACTAAAACATAAGACCTCTGGACACATAAAGAGAGAGGTCCGTAGGTTGTTCCAAACTGGCATCTTGAAAGTATAAAGTACCAGAACAAGCATTGACTGTGTAGAGATTCTGTTTGTAATGCTGAGGATTATGTAGTAACTGGCTTACATACAGTTCTCCATTAAATGTTGTTATTGTTTCATGACAGGATGTGAGCTCATAGTCTATGCTGACACTCAAAGGCAGTGCTGCAGTGTTGGTGGTGCTGTTCTTTGGATGAGATGTTATACTGAGTTCCAAATCTGCCTGTTCATATGGATGTTAAAGATCCCATGACAATATTCCCAAAAAACTAGGATTTGTCCCTAGTGTTCAGATAATTGTTGTTCACCTCATAGCTGTTTGTGGGACATTGCTGGCGCCAATGCCTCAGTGTTTGCCAATAAAAAAATCTTGTGAGATGTTTTGACTTGATTAAAAAAAAATGGGTTCTTTCTTTCTGACGATTACCCCAAACAGGATGAAACTATGGAGGTTTCTTCACCTTGGGGAGAAGCTGTGATTAGTTTGTAATGTGTAGCTGAACTTGCACATTATTTTGTGAGGGGAGTTTTAGGAATTCTGCACATGTGTGTTAAAGTTTGAACTGTGGCCTTTTGTTAGTTGCAGCTTATGTGGGAGTTAGTCTGTCTACGCAGCAGAGTTACTGGTAAAGAAATATGTTCTCATCTCCTTGTGGACCACTCTGCCATCCCTTTTCCCCCAAACATTGGGAGATTTATGATTCCCGTTTTCTATTGGCTGATAGAATGAGTGTAATTGTATAGTAAATGATTGCTTTCATTGAATGTGCTGAAGCACAAGGATTGAATAATAAAGGATATATTCTAAGTTCAGACATACCAACATTACTAGGTTAGGCATGGTAAAAGTTAGGATACCTACAATTACCTTATCTGAAAAGTCAAGAAGTTCACAACAGAACTACCCGATCCTCACTGAGGTTAAAGTTTGACCAGATGTGAAACACAGGGTAGCAGAGCTGTGCTCCTGCACATAAGACCACAGTTCTTTACGCCCTACTTACCCCTCAGCAGTAGGGCAACATAACAGTTTAACAGTTCTGCTGCCTCAAACCACTCCACTACATTTGCTTTGTTATTATTATATGCATACATTGTGTGTCAACAACTAAATGCAAGTATTTTGTGGAACTGTCCAGTTGTTTAAAAGTGGAGGCTTCACTAAAATTGCTCACGTTCATTCAAATGTGGAGCCTGGATTGAGGTGCTGGGTCTCAACATGAAGAGATAGCCAAGATAGACACACAATCCTCTCCACACACTGCCCTTACCGTTCCTCCTGGAATGCCTTTACACAATGTAGTATTTATACAGAATGTCTGTTTTACAGCAAAAGGTCAAGGAATTTCAGCCTCACCATTTTTTCATTGAAGCTATTAAATGCAGCTCGCTTTACATTCACTTGCCAGACTTTTCTGGAAAGCCAAAATACAAATGTAACACAGTAGCCATGAGGCCTGGTTCAGAATATAGTAAAACTCTGAATAATGTGACTTGTGCTGGACTAAATATACATACTTAAAGGAATTACTGGTTGTAATTTGTTCCCTAATTTCCACCTTGTTCTTTCCTCATCTCCCAAAGATATCCTTCATACTGGTGTTTGGCTCCAAAATGATTGCACTGCAGAAATGTACAGTACTTCACATGGGGACACAAAATCCTGGAAGAGACTATTATTTGAATGGAAGGAAAATAATATGCTATGGAAAATGAAAAGGACCTGGGGGTCCTGATTGACAATAAATTGAAGGTCTCCCAACAATGCTCTGTGGCAGTGAGTAAAGCAAACCAGATGTTGGGATGTATCAAATGATCAATAGCAAACCGAAATAGTGGAGTAATCCTGCCACTGTATAAATCATTTGTGAGACCATACTTAGAGTACTGAACACAGCTCTGGTCGCTGCAGTACTAAAAGGATATTGGAGAAATCGAGAAGATTCAGAGGAGGGCAACCAGAATGATTGAGGGAACGGAGGGACTGGACTATGAGGAGCAACAAAGTAAATTGGGCATATTCACGCTAGAAAATAGAAGATTGAGAGGCAATATAATTGCTGTCTTTAAGATTCTAAAGGGACTAGACAATACAGATCATGACAGGCTGTTTCAACTTGTCCAAAATAGTAAAATCAGAGGACATAGCCTACAATTGAAGGGGGTTAAATTCAAAACTAATCTACACAAACACTATTTCAATGAGAGAATACTGAACCTGTGGAACAGGCTTGCTAGGGAGACAGTTGAAGCAGGAAGTGTTGATTATTTCAAACACAGATAGTTTTATTTTAGGAAATAACATTATGAGATATAGTACATAGATAGTTCGGGACATATGTGCATTCGACCACCAGGTGGAAGGTAAACTAGATGGCCTTGGTCGTTTTTCGTTGAGCATTTTTTATGTTCTTATAAGCATATCATATTTTGCCCACAAAATATACAGTCAGTTCACTTCACAGTATATTCTGTGAAGTGCTTTGAGACGTCTCAAAGATGTGATAAAACGCTATATCAAATGCAAGGATTATCATTATATTAATATCGGAGTGTATTGCTGCCAATTGTTAGATTTTGCTTTGTAATACATCTGAATGCATACTGTTACGACTCATCAAACTGAAATAGATTTCCTCTATTTCTCTTCGCACAGTTCCTCAAGTCCTAAAAAGCTGTGCTGGATTCATTGAGAAAAATGGGATTGTAGATGGAGTTTACAGACTCTCAGGGATCACATCCAACATCCAAAAGCTGAGGTAAGGCACACCTTCACTCACACGCCACTAAATACATCACCCTATCTTGGGCTCACACAACCCTTTGCTCTTCAAATCTTCAAATATTAAAGTGCTACTGGCTCCAGTAATTGTCTTCTAAACCACTGATAATCCATATTGTTGTCAGATGGGAACAAGGGTCAAGTAAGTTATCAACTTGGCTCAGTTGGTAGCATAGTGGGTCCAAAAATTGTGGGTTCTAGGTCCAATGTAGGACTTGTAGTCTGGGCCGACACTCAAACGGTGAGGGGGTATCACATTTTCTGAGGTGCTGTCCTTCAAATAAAATGTTTAAACAGAAGTCCTGCCCATCAATCAGGGGGATATTAAGGATTTGGGGACACTGTTTGAAAGGAAAAGCGAGTTCTCCTCGTTGGGTCTCCTAAGAGCTGTACCGGCTCTAAGGTAATATGTTTGGCAATGGAATGTTAGAACGAGGCAATGCTCCAGTCTGTTTCCTGATCCAGATGGGTCTGCAGTACCCCAAAGCCCTACTGATGATAGACCAGCCAGGCTGGCTCATCAACAGGACTGGGAAGGGCAGACCAGTCACTGGGGACACAGATTCTTTCCGCTCATCTCTTGCTAACCTTTAAGCCAAAGCCCTAATGGTGATCCTAGCTGGACAAGTGGAAGAAAATTTCAATGGCATGCTATGTGTTTTTAGATAGTTAGACTCCAGCTTTTCCTCTGTCCATACACAGGGATTGTTGTGTTCTGCTCTGTATATAGGAGTGGCATACATTTGTGGAACGCTTAAGTATCTAGGATACTCTTAAGCATGGTGATAGGTTTCTGTCATGTAGCAGACACCCGGCTGACCAAATAAAAAGTGTTGATCTATATGCTGCTGGAGTGGGTGCATGTGTGGTTATTGTTTGCAACACCAGCCTCTCTCTCACAACCAGCTTGTGCTGCACGTAGATCATTCCAATGCCTCGGAGCTTTCTTTTTATCAGTGGACGTACCTACTGTTTTGAAATAGAATAAAACATTCATCAATGAAAATAGAAGGTTCAAAACCAAAACATTAAGCACAGTTTCTCTTTCTGAAATTGCAGCGTGGACTTTCAGGTTTCCAGGGTTCAGAGTTTTATTTTATCTTAGATGGAAATACAACATTCTGCAATTGCACTTTAGCCAGGGCATCAGAAAAAGCTATTATCCATTATTTTGCACTTGCCATTCAATCTGCAGCCTGTCTAATCTCTTCACTGTAAGGTTTGGTAGCCAGCTGTGAACTAACAGAGGTTTGTTGTGTCTGCTCTTGCAGGCAGGAGTTTGGTACAGAGCAATCCCCTGACTTGACCAAAGAAGTGTATCTGCAAGACATTCACTGCGTGGGTTCTCTCTGTAAGCAGTACTTCCGAGAACTTCCAAATCCTCTCCTCACTTATGAACTGTACAAAAAATTCACAGTGAGTACATTACTTTTGTCTCCTCTAGTTTACTGGCACTCTTTCCTTCAGAAGGCAGTTACTGGATATGGTTTGAAAGGTGGTGGTAGGCCTCGGAGAGTCTATTCCAGCGTGAGTTTGACCGTGAGAGGCATCACAGCCAAGTCTAAACCTTCTTTCACTTCCTTGATTTTCTATCCTCCCACTGAAACTTTAAAATTGTTTGCCCAGGGGGACAGTAGGGCTGGATGGTGTTGACAGTTTTAAGAAGACACTAAATACAACAGCAGCAACATCTTGCATTCATATAGCACCCTTTATCCAGGATAGTGTCAGAGCATTGCTCAGTGATGGAGTTGTTTCTACCAAACAAGGGAAAAGGGGGAGGAGGGGGTGACCATAGGCTTAGTCGAAGAGGTAGACTTAAGGTTGGGATTTAAAGATGGGTAAAGAGGGGGTGAGGCAGAGAGATTGAGACAGGGAGTTCCAGAGGTTAGAGACATAGTGGTTGAAGGCACTATGTCACTGATGGTGGCACAGAGAGGTCAGGGACTCACAGCAGCAGGCCTGTGCTAGTTGAACAAAGGGGGCAGGCAGAAGAGTGGGGTACCAGCTGGTCAGAGAGGGAGGGAAATACGTCGAGGCTGTTGTTGGAGATATGACATTATAAGTAATAGGGACCTGTGGTATTACAAAAATGGGACCAGATGGTCTTTACCAATCTTGTATGTTCCTATGCTTCCTCTTTGACAGTCAATCACTCTACCAGAGAATACTATCCCACGTGAAGGATGCTATGTAAATACAAATTGTAATTTGTTGCTGTTGCTGACTGATGCTGAGGTATAGTTTCATCAGCACCAGGTCTTTCCCTAGCCAAGGGCACAAGTGTATTTACACACTCACCTAAGCACACAATCGGCTTTGCCTGAACACAGGTTGACTCATGTATACAAGCATACAAATACATGCACACAGTCTTGAGTGCACATATATAACCATATCCTCATGCTCATGATTACGCATGTTCACAAGATCACACTCACTTATTTACATGCACACACAGACAGACCTTCTAAGAAGTCTGCACTCACAAACGTACATACACAGAAACTAATTTGCATATTTATGGTGCCTGATGTCAAAGCATCTCAAAGTGTTTTAAAGTAACTTACTGAAACTTTAGGGAGAAATGGCAGTCATTTTGCTTATAGGAAGATTCCAAAAACAGCCATGAGGTGAATGACCAATTAATCTGGAGGATTATCTATCATCATCATCATAATAATAATAACAACAATAATAAAGAATAAAAGAAGACACTCTTCTCATTTCTAATGGTGCCTGCGATCTTTAACATCCACTTTAAAAACAGCGAATACAAACCTGGACAGGGAGAAGCTCCTACACAAGTGAGGGCCCAATTTATACTGTTCCTGACCCTATATGGCTTTGAAATCTACTAAACTGTGAGCAGATCAGTGTTCCATATTTTATTTCAAAGTCAGCGAGTGGCCTCAGAAGCCAAATAAGCCTAAGGCCTTCTTAGTTTATTACAGCTGGTTCTGTAATTCCATTGGAATAAAGAATAAAGTTCTGTAGTATGGTAAGATACTATAACATCTGGAGAAAGGTTCAAAAAGTGCTCACATCAGCTATCATGAGTTACATCTAGTAATCTTGTAAATGCAGATGGACAGATTTAAACAGCGCTGATCATCAATATACTGTATTCAATTAGCAAAATATGCAACAGTCCACAATATTGATATGGTTGGTGCTATGAGAAAATTTTAGTTGAGAAATTCCTTGTGCCACAAAAAGTATCAATATTAATGTTGTACTCTTAATAGGAACACTCAACATGTGTTAGAAAGTATATATTAGTTCAAGTCCCAGGCCAAGGATTTGGAGCTCATGGTCTAAGCTGACACTCCACTGCTGTGGAAGTACTGCTCTGTCAGAGCTGCCGTCCTTTAAATGAAACGTTAAACCAAGGCCTTTTGTGCCTGTTCAAGTGGACATCAAAGAACCATTATTCAAGTCACTTTTTGAAATGAATATCTCCTGGTGTCCTGGTCAACAATCCCCCAAATAAAATTTGATCATTCACCTACTGGCTATATGTGGGACATTGCTCGCTGCAAATTGGCTCCTGCTTTCACCTATAAATACATAGTCACTGCACTTTACAGAAAAAAACGTCTGTGAAATACTTTGGGGCTTTATTAAATGCAACGATTATTTTGTTATCATGACTTTATCATTAAAGTCGCTAAATTCAGTCTTAAGCCAAACCTCTCACCTTTCATGTCTTTGAGCAGTTAAGTCATTTACTTCATCTGTAGGAGGCGGTGTCGGCTCAGTCAGAGGAGGAGCAGATTCTCAGAATCCACAATGTCATCAAAGAACTGCCTTCTCCACATTACAGGTAACAGAAGAAGCCAGTGTACGCTTGAAATTCTACTCAGGCTTGGCGTTTTCTCCTAAAGCTTAAGCTTGGCAGAATGTGGATATTTATTCATTTCAGTCCTAGTTTAGAAGCCAGTTTTCCACAGTTTGTAAAATGAACCATCTTCCAAATTAAGACTGTATTTAAGATTGTTCCACTATTTAGCCCAATCTTAAGTTTTAAGATATAATGGTCTTTAAGATAAGTCGAGGCTGAATTTTAAATAGATTGAGATTTCTTTTCCTCCCACTATCTAGTGTTTAATGATGCTGGCAAGTGTACAGAGTCTCTGATTCATTCAAGAATCAGTCTTGAATGAATTTTATGAAAAGTGTTTTCACCGTTGGCTAAACGGTCCCAGGGCCTTGGGATGTCCTCCCAATGTGAAATGCGCTGTACAAATGTAATTTGTTGTTATTTTGTTGTTGAATGTTTTAGGCTCCTGCACTGTGTGAAATCCTGAAAAAAAGCATTATTATTATCCCAATAAAGCATTATTGAAATATTAACCCCAATTTACTGACAATATTTTTTAAAGAAAATAAATACATTTTCAATTATTTAGCCTGTCTGTTGTCCACTTTTTACTTCTATTTTCTCTTCCTTGCCTATTCTTTTCTTGTACAATATTTTTTAATCTTAACTTTTTTGTGCTCTTGATATTTATTATAAATATTTTACCGCACTATTATAGTTTGCCTTCCTTCTCTGTCCATTAGTTATGAAAGATTTGTTTATGAAAAGTGTTTTCACCATTGGCAGATGGTGTTTTTACTACCACTTTTTGCCTAATAGGTAGAAAATTGACAGAACAGCATCCCAGATGTGGCAATGTTACATTCCTGATAGGATTTTTATGTCTAAACTAGGACATGAGAGATAATAAATAATCTCTCATACCCAGATAAAGTGAATTTGTAGTCAAATCCCTGCTCCTCACTCCTTCCATCTCTGCTTTCAAAACTCATCTAAAAACTATTTATTTGGTCTCCCGGCTTGTGTTCCCATGTCATCTCTGTATAGTGTTTTGAGATGTTCTCCTGCATGAGAGGTGCTGTATAAATGCAAATTGTTGTCATCCAAAAAAATCTGAACTTCTTCCATTTGCAGGACCTTGGAATACCTGACAAAACATTTGACACACATTGCTTCCTTCAGCTGTGAGACAAATATGCACTCCAGGAATCTGGCACTTGTCTGGGCTCCCAATTTACTGAGGTAGACATTGGTACATTTGAATTCTAAAGCTAAATCTTAAATTGTATGTGAAAAAAATGCAAGACAAGTAAATGTGTGGGGATGGGAACACGGAAAGATAGCTTACTTGGTGGTGTAATTTTTGAAGTATCTCTTAATGATATTCATCGATAAGGAATTCCTGTTGACGTGCAGGAACTCGTTCGTGGAATAGATTGGGTTACAGTAGAGTTTCTGTGGGTCAGAGTGATGTGCAGAAGGAGCCTCAATTTATGCAACATGGATTCCTCATTAAGAAATACTATAAATTAGACCCCTAACAACTTTTAGGTAATTAAAAAAGATTAAAATGTGGATTATATTAATATAGGAATTTGCAATCATTCTGTGTAATGCCGTCACAATGTATGTACAACATTAATCTCTGTGGATTTTTCTTGCATTGGGTGCAGTTTATCTTGTCTTGCAGTTCATGTTCTTGACAGCATTGCTTCTCTGAAATTGACCCCTGATCTCTTGTGGCATAAGGTCAACATTCTTGCCATTCCAGGAACTAAGAATGGGACATTCCATTATCTTCCATAGTAGAAATTCAGGATTAGTCTGAGTCCAATCTGAAGATTCAATCCCATCCCATCACCTGCAAGAATCTACCTTTGCCAGTAAAAGACAAAGAAGCATCCTCCTTGCCCTCCATCTACTATAACATTGGAGAAAGATTCACATTCTAAAATTGTTTTGTTTCAGATAAGACTTTAAACTACGGTTCTGTCTGCCTGTTTGGGTGGATGTTAAAAATCTCATGGCACTGGCTCGAAAAGAAAAGGAGTTTCCTTAATCTGGATAAATTGGAAATTCACTTAATGTGTGAAAATTAGCTGCAGGTTTTGTCCACAGTCACTAAATAACAATGACCTTCGAGGTGTCTCAACATTATCGACCCTAGATCCAATGCAGGGATTATTGTTATTATTATTATACTTACTCAAAATAACACATACAGGAGATCAAATGAAGCAGACTGTTTTCCTTTTTTCATGAAAAAAACACTGTACTAGTTTTTGAGATCATTTTGATTCCCTATAAATTAAAATGGTATCACTTCCAGGATGCAGACTCTTCTCAACACTTGTTGCAAATAACCCTTGTTTGACCAAATGATTCAAGTCCCATCAATTCCTTAATCCCATTTTAGAATGTGTATTAAAACCTGAACTGATAAATAGACATTAATACAATTAATCCTATATTCCGTGTTTATAGATCAAAGGAAATAGAAGGCTCTGGTTATAATAATGATGCCGCGTTTCTGGAGGTGCGGGTTCAGTCTGTTGTCATTGAGTTCATCCTGAATCATGTCAATCAGCTGTTCAACAACAATGCAAACCAGCCTGGCCAAGAGAATGAAGGTGAGACTTAAACAGCAATAACTGGAAACTCAGATTTATTATTTTCTTACCATTTCAGAGTATTCCCACAAAACAATAATAATCCTTGCATTTGATCGCTTTACAATGTATCCTGCTGTCCTCCCAACATGAAAGACTAAATACTTACCGACTGTAAGAAATTCATTTTCAATTTATGTGAATTTGGCAAATTCTTAAAACTATCTTAATTTTGAAGACAGTTTTTGTAGTTCTTAAAACAAATATTTTGAAATCTTTCCACTCCTGGGTGAAACTTTGGCAAGTTTCATTACTCCACGTATCTCTGTTTACCTAGCAGTAAGTAGGAACACGGTTGTTAGTCAATTGGCGGATTGCTTTTCTGGGGGAAATAATCCTTTTGAAAGAAAAACAATTATTTGGTTACTTAATCCACGACTGTTTGTGGGACACTGTTGTGCGCAATTGGCTGCCACGTTTCACCCACAAAACATACAGTCAATTCACTTTTCAGTATATTCTGTGAAGCGCTTTGAGACATCTAGAAGACATGATAAGGCGCTATATCAAATGCAAGAATTATTATTATATATTAAACAATGGTAATACAAAAACATGGCTCAAAAGCCCTGGATGCCAGTTTCTTAGATTCGCACTCTAGCAGGGATCATTTTTGAGCATTCAGAATGGCTTTTCTTCAAGTTATTGAGGGGATACTGGTTGATTGGCTTATAACTCTATATGAGTTAGACCTGTTCTTTTGCTTGAGTTGGGCCTGAAGATTTCAGTGAGGCCTTTATTGAGGTTTAGAGAGCTAAGAACAGCTGTATGGGTACTGGTCTAGCTCAGACTGAGTGATTCCTGTTATTTCCTGAGTAAGATCAGAAAGCTGTTTGTCAGAGCTCATAAATGATCCTGCGAAGCACAAATTCAACATAGCTGTGGTTATCTCACCCAGGTTTCGGAGAACCCTTTATTCAAATCACATCTCAACATTGTTCCTTGAATAAGGAACAGGCTGTGTTTAGGAATACCTGTCTTGTGAAGTGCATTGCCCTAATCACTGTGATTTATCTCAACAGCGCACAATTCTATTTCAAAATGTAAATCGCTTCCTCTTGTATCACCGTCCATGAAACTCCTAACGTTAGAGGAGGCCCAAGCCAGGTCTCTCAGCCCAAACCATCCAGCTCGACTTGAAAAGTGGCACTGTGCTCCCATGGACACTGGACCTGCTGCTGGGACAATTTATCACACAGTCATTGATCTGCCAGATCCCAGGTAAGATTTGCACAGAACGTTTCCTTTGTCATTATACACAATAAGATCACATATGCTGATCATTGACTGAATTTAAGAATATTTTACAATTCTTTGCAATCTTCAATTTTTAAGACAAAATTGTCTTGCGGGCTAAGATTAGGTGAAATTTTGGACCAGAGAGAGAAAAGCTTCCATCACTCCGGATCCAATTCAAAGCTATTTCCCACAGGTTGAAGGATAGTGTTTATTGCAATACTCAGTAATGTTTGTTCAATGCATGCGCTTCAATTGATTTGTAAGGAATTCTATCTTGTTTTCCAGAAGAAAACTTTCTGCAAAAGCAAAGAAATGGAAATCCATCTTTAACCTAGGTCGCTCGGGGGCTGATTCTAAGGGCAAACTGAGCAGGAACAGCAGTGTATTCATAAGAGGCCGTAAGCTCTCTGGTAAGAACATTGACATCCAACGACAGAGCCACTCATGATCATACAGGCATCAGTATTTCAGGATCAATTTAATTAAATATTCAATAACTGTCACATCGAATGTGGCGAAGATGACCCCATTCTCAATGGCAATGTCTATGTTAAGCCAAATTGAAGGTTTTATGACATGTGTATTAGGTCATATCCAAAACAAAAAAATTAAAGAATAACACTGAACAAATGCAGCTGCTAACTTTGGGACTGATCAGATGGAGCAGAATGGTCTTTTGCAATTGTGTATGCTCCTAAGTTCCTATGAGGAACTTTCAAGCTGTCCAGCAAGCTTTCCCGCTGCTTGTCCAGCTCGGACCACAATTCATTAGGGCTTTGGCTTGCAGGGTTAACAGGAGCTGAGTGGGATGCCTCCCTGCCCCCAGTGACTGATCTGCCCTTCCAGTTCCTGCCGATGAGCCAGGCTGCCTGTGCTGTCATCAGCAGTGTCCTTGAATACTGCGGACCCACCCGGCTCAGGAACCAGACTACAGAGACCCTCACAGAGGGCTGGCTCAAGTCCATCATTCCATTGCCAGGCATGTTACCTTGAAGTCAGTTCAGCTCCAAGGAGACCCCACTTACATCCCCCCCCAAGGAGGATAGTGACTAGTTGGTCATTCAACATCCAACAAGCGTGGGTTTGAGCCCTCACTAGGTGGATGGTATGTACAAGGAATTCCCTGCGAGCTTCCTGGAAAGCAATGCATCTCAGCACGAAATGTGTGAGAGCATTTGCCACCATCTTCCTGTCTGCAGTTTGGGCACACATCCCTTCCCATTGAGAGATGGTTCCACCTATTGGAGGTGCGGAGTTTAAGCAGCAGTTGCTTATCTCTCTGCAAGCCAATTAATGTGGATTCGAGGCACTGGATGTACGAATGTGTGTTCACAAACTCGGACTCCAGGTAATGCCTTCCAGCATCGTTGCCCCAAGCCTCACTGTTTCTCATCAGCTATTTGGTAGGCATCTGCCTTTGGCATGGTAGGGAACTTTCAAGTTGATCAAAACAAAGCCACATCCCCTTGGGACTGAACTGGCTCTACAAGTTCTCAAACCTGTAAACCAAAGCCACAAAGGGCATCGCCATCCTAGATAAGCAATATGCTGCTCGTGGTTATCGTTTCATCATTGACATCTCAGGTTGGAGTCATTTCAAAAGTATGTTTACGAGTGACTCAGTCTGTTTCATCACTGGTGTTGTCAGTCATTTCTTGAGTAGCACACATCTACTTGGGGAAGATAATGATTAGTCTGTTATGGTGTGATATTGTGGCTAATTTGCCACAGTTCCGTGTAAAATTGAATGACATCACCCTGACCATAGCTTCTCGTATTTTCTACCGTGTAACTTGTAACCTGCTGTGGTAAACTTATGATGCGTCAATAGAGTATAGCACATTTCTGTCCTCATTCAGTGTGTTAGAAAGACTCCACAAAACAGCAAAAAACAGGAGATTTCTCTCAACCAAAATTACTTAACTTCAAGAATTCAAATTCCTATACATGATATGTGTTTCCCGAAATAACAAATAGCAGGGAATGAATTAAAGGTTACAGCCTAATAGTGAGGTCAAATGGTGTTCACACACTTGTTGGCTTTCATCTCAGTGCGTGTCATTCAAACCCTTTGATTAGTTTGCAGTTCTGTGTTTTTCTCTCTCAGGTGTCTGGTTTTCTGTGCGTACTTATCACTCACAAGTGTTTCCTTTCTTTATGTTCAAACAGAAAAGGCCAGCATCCGACCAGCTAAAAGCATGGATTCCCTTTGTTCTTTGCCTGCAGAAGGTATGAGACATTGTATCTTGCACAAGTTCACCCTCTGTTGTTGAGTGGCTTTTCAGAAGCTGATTGTGAGGGGAAGTAGAGGGTGTCCTGGGTTAGATTCAGCAGTACTCACTGTGCCATTGCACCAGCTCAATTCAGCCCAGCTCCACATTCGGAAAGCTGCAATGAAGACTTGGAATTCACTACGAGAACATTCCAAAGCAGATTAATTCATTCATCTCTCATAGCTACCACTGGGTAATTACTGGCTATGGAGCCTATTTCAGAGAGGGTCATCACCCTTTGAGCAGTCACCTACAACAAATTAACATTGTTTGGTTTTGTTCCACTCACTTCTGCATATTTTTGCTTAAATCAGATGATGTTATTGTCACGTAGCAGTTGTGAGCCTGACAGTGTGAGGAGACTGAATTAACAATGGCAATGACATAATCATTACGATTATAGAGCTTTGGTGTCTGCTCTGTATGTAAACCCAACTCTGCTCATAGGCTCATCAGCTGTTCCAAGCCAGCATCTCCCATGATGTCATTGACCCTTGCAGTTCAAACAAAAATATTTTCAAAAAGGGTAAACTACGATAAACAAGACAAGATAAAAGGATGATAGGCTCCCCGGTGCTCAGTGGGGAAACACATACGGTCTTACATTGAATCATACAGACCAGGAGGTTCAATTCTGGGATGCTGCTTAGTGAGCTAAGCTGAATTGAGGCAGGATGAGGCATTAAAAGTGATCACTGAAAGTGATAATTATCATTCATTTTTTATCCTCAATTCTGTAAAGAAAATTGCAATTTTCATCCTTCTGTCTCTGGGAATTCCTTTGTGGTGTCTGTAAGGTCAGGAACTGTTACACTTTCATTAACTTCAATGACATACAGTGCTCAGGAATCTGTTTGGAATGAGTGTAAAAATTAAAATTAGAGCTTCCTCAGACAAAATTGGAAAAATGCAAATTCCTTCTCTTCTTCCCTATTATCTCAGCCTCCTACAGTCACAAAGGCCATTTTGAGAGTAGGGTGAAAGTTTGCATTGTTTTGGGGCTGTTTTTGCATTTGATATATTGCCTTATAATATTGTTGAGAGATCTCAAAGCACTTCACAGAATAACTTGTAAAGTGAATTGACTATTTTGTGGGTAAAATGTGGCATCGAATTTGCACACAGCAATGTCCCACAAACAGCTATGGAATGAGTGATCAATTTTATTGGCCAGGATTTGCTTTGGGATCTTTAACATCCACCTGAAAAGGTAGATGGGACCTCGGTTTAACGTCTCATTTGAAGGACGACACCTCTGACAATGCAATACCCCTTCCCCCCAGCGCTGCATTGGAGACTCATCTTAGATGGGGTGACCATATCTGATTTGCAGGGACAGTCCCTGGATGAGGTATTATGCCCCTGACCAAACTTCCCCTGTCTTGAGTTCGGCAACAATAAAATTCTAAAACAGATACACTCATCAGCGAAATACAGTGTAGCCATTAATTATTGTTAACACTGTGTGCTGTAGATTCTGTGTAAACCTATATGTAAACCTGTCTATTATTCCTCACAATCTTTTAATATTTTTTCTCTGTAGACGATAAACACGCAGCCACTTTGGGAGGAGGCCTCTCGCCTGCTATGAAGTCGCACACAATTGGCTCAGGAGGTTCTTATCTAGGCAGGAGACACAGTGACTGGGATCAGGAGGATATTCTTGGTGCTATTGGAGGCTGTGCCAGTAACGCCAGTAAAGAAACAGTGGCTAAAGAGATGCTGCCACTCAAGCCACAGCCAGAGCCGCTTAAAGTTATTCGTGGAGATGCCCTCAACAAGTCAGAACCCACCTCGCCAAAGACTAGACGCTTGTTTTATTCAACAAATCTCAATGAAGCTTCAATGAAATCCAATTTCCCAGGGAACCTGTTCCCCCTTGAAGCATCCCCAAGACATCACAGGAAACCAATAGCTGTGAATATATCAGAGCCCTTTTCTGTTTCTGTCCCATTGCATATCTCAGGAATTATCAGCCCAGGCACCACACCATGCAAGGAACCACAGAAAAATGGACCAGATTTGAGCAACTCGTCTCCACAGGACAATAGCAGCACAGTCTCCCAATATGAAAGCAACAATCTGCCCCCAGCCAAGCATGAGAAAGTAACAAGAGAACCTCTTAACCAGCCGTTTCCCAATCCCTTTTCCAGCAGGGCTGAAATGAAAGGTATGTACTTTGTATGAAAGAAAGAACTTGACTGAAAGACGGTACTTCCCACAATGCTGCTCTCTGCAGTAATGCACAACAATATCAACCTAAGATATTAACCTATGTTCCAACATAGGGCTTGAACCCACAGACCTGACTAGAGGCAAGAGTGCTTTGAACTGAGCCAAATTAATATATCGCTTGTTATTAACTAAGAAACTGATACTTTTCTTATCTGGACAGGCTTTACTGTTATCATGTGGAATGCTGATAAGATAATAATAGAGATCTTGTAACCACTCTTGTGGGAAAGTGTTTGTGTAAAATAATACATCATGCTGATTTTTATTTTACTTTTCATTCCTGCACAAGCTAAAGTCCATCCTGAAACTTTATTGTAGAAATGCCAAATATCAAACCCGGGCCTTTGCTGGATTAACTGATCTCAGTGGGGTGCTATAATTGGCCTTGGTGCCCCTGAGCTAAGGAAGGGAAAAGTCTGTTCCAAATCACTACCCAAATAGTTTTGTTGTATGATGTGCTCACATTGGGTGAGGACAGGATCATGGTCAGCTTTGATGCCCTCACAGGCACATAGCATGCTAATGCTTACTGTCTGGGATCACACCATCAAGAATAGCCACTTGTACGGGACATCAGAAGGCAGCTCCTGCTTGTGCACTAGAGAGGGTCATTTGCAATACGCGATGTGACAATTATCACCAGTGATAAATATCACAGCAAATCCCCCCTCCCCCCCCATGAAAGCAGCATATTTCAGTGCTTTCACATGAAGAAAACAGGCCAAATGGCCTCCCACTGTGTCCTTAATATCTATGCTTTTATGGTAAGAAGTGAAGGGGGAGAATTGAAGAGGAATAACAGTTGTGTTACTTCAGAATCACATATTGGTTCAAGTTGGCCAAAAGATGTCATCTTTTTATTTCAAGTGCACTATCAGAGGATTTCAGTGCAGTATTTCTGATTTATTCGGAACATCATGGGACAGGGGAAGAAACAAATCTATTTATTAAAATATATTTAATAAAAATATTTGTCCATTTCTTTGCTGCTTAGATAATCAGAACATAGAGAAAAGAGAGTTACGTGAATCCCAGACGATTGCTATTTCCTCCAAGTCTTTCAATCTGCCAATGCCTTTCCCTAATGTCACAATCCAACCTTCTGAGCGACTGCAGTCAGCAAGCTCTTCATCTACAGACAGCAGCTCAAATCTCCCAGACAGAGAAAAGCAAGAGGAGAGCCATGCACTGCCAAGCCCACTTACAGAGAGTCCGTGTGAGAACTGTAACCATAAGACAGTCTCTGAAGGCAGCAAAACAGACCAAACAGCAACAAAACAGGACCAAGAGGTGAGTTTCGTCATTCAAGAGTCAAATTAAAATGAAATAGATTGCTATCGTCTAGTCTCACACTTGTTGGAGCTACAAGGATTTCTGGCACCTGTAAAACTGTAAAACAGTGTGAGTCAATGCCTTTAACAGGGGAGAAAAAGAGAAAAATACAGCAGCCATCATAAAAATTGATTAGATCACATGGAAACTCCCAACAGACAAGCTAATTGTGATCTTCTCAAAAGCGAGTGTGAAGTTTGCCACATCACTGCATTGCCTTCCTCTCCCAACCCCCCATCCACTATTCATTTCACTGCTTGTACTTCTTTTCACAGTGACAGTGGATTTGAAATGTATCATCTTGGATACTAAATTGACCATGTAGTTTGATATTCTCCTGGATGAAGGTCCCTGCTGAGGTTGAACCTTCAATGGTGTGTCTGCAAACCACAGTCATGCCCTGCTGGTCAGAGAATGCTGGTAACAGCAATGGCTTTGTCTAGTACTTTTCTTTACTATTTCATTCTGAAGAAACACAGTGCACAGAGGGGCTCGCTTGTAAAAATTGTATCTCCCTATTTGGCAAAATTGTTTCTAAAAAAAACCACATCAAAGGAGCTCCAGCTTCAAGAAATGTGGAGAGGCGAGAGTAATAGTTCAGCTGCTCCAGTAAACAGTTTATCCAACATGGCAGCTGACGCCCAGTTCTCCAGACTCTCATCGATTAGGATGAACACCTGCAATGGGATCGAGGTAGGCCTCAAAGAACAGAATTCAGGTCACACCCAGTGACGGAATTCAGGTTATACCCCAGTCAGACAGTGATGAGATTTGGTCAGACTCAGTCAGGCCCCAGTGGTTAGATTTAGTTTTTAAATTAGGTTGGCATCAAACCATGAAGTTTGTGAAAGGCATTTTTTGTTATCTGAAGGAGGTGTTTAAGCTGATAGAAGGCATGTAGAGCTATATAAAATGATATTAGGTTTGCTTTACTTGAGTACACATATAATCACAACAAGTGTGTTTACACACAAAATTTCAATTGTTCTGCCGTCACCTCTGCCAGACTTGCTATCAACAAACAACAGAGACCATGATCTATCTTGTGATCTTCTATGTCTATACAACTCAACCGCTAATGGAATAAACTTACTGATCCATAAGATCATTTATAAAACTATGCTTAATCTAAAAAAGTTAGTTTGCTACAAATGTTTGTGCTGTAGAGCAACTCCTTGTTCGCAAATGATACACAAGTGCCCTCTGGTGGAAGCAAGGAATAATAACCCTTTGGATCTTGGAGTTTAGAACATAAAAAGCTATTTGGCTGTAAAACAAATATCAAATAGTATTCAAAGGGAAATGGATAATATTTTAAGAGGAAGAATTAATAGATTAATATCTGGGCTTAAGGGGTAAACTATTAAGGGGTAAACTCTGGGTAAATTTGAGTTATATTTATTACAGTTGATCTGATTGTGGTGTTTAAAATAAGGAAGCAAATTGACAAGCTAGATACAACAATATAATACAAAGTGACATTTATGTAACGCCTTTCGGGTCAAGAGGATGTCCTAAGTGCTGGTGGATGACTCTTTCCGCTGGTGCAAAACAAAAGGCATAACCTTAAAATTAGAGTTAGTACTGTTGACTTTGAAAGTGTAGAATGCACTGACCCAGAAGATCAAACAGATAAACGGAATAAAATACTTGCCCTGATCCAATAAACTGCAGAATATGTTAGATGGGCTGAATGGCTTCTTCATGTTCCTAAATTCCTAAAAATATGAAAGGGTACAAGGAAAGAGAAGAAAGTTAATATTAGAGTAATTTATTCTTGAAGATGAGGTAGTACCAGCCTTAGGGTGAAATGGGCCAAATGTGCAGTAAAGTCTTTCATTCTATAACAACTAAGCTATTGCCATTAACTGCTACCCTGTGTGAGGGGTGCTATATAAATGCAAGCTGTTGTTGTTGCTTGGATGTAACTGTAAGTTCATATCTAGTCCTCTTTTCTGAATTATAGACAAAAGTAATTCTCCCTTTGCTATCTGAGTTAGAATAGTCAATGAAGTGTACAAACAAATGAAGTAACTTACATTCAATGAGCACAATTAAACTGAAAACACGTTAAGGTCACTTTAACATCAAGAATTACAGATCAACCTTTACATATACTTAAGGCTAAATGTACTACTGCAGTACTTTTTAATACCAATGAGCATTTGCACAATTATTGATTTGATAGTCACGTATTAACAATGAAATATACTTGATATGCTTTGTCATTCTTTATGGTGTCTTTGTGCCTGTTTTGCAGGTCAACGAATCCTCTGCTAAAGCGTTTATGGAGCAGCTTTGGCCAGATATCAAAGAAGAGCTCAAGATTACAGAACCTGAGACTGTCACCATTGCCAGTGTTCAAGAAAAAGGGGAAAAAAGTTTGCTTCCGTCTTATGACAAAAACGAAATAAAAGAAAAATCCTTACCTCATGCTTCACCAGACCTACCTTGTACTGAACCTCAGAAAAAACACAGTTCTAACCAGTTCTTACAAAGTCCGTGCCTGTCTGCAATGACTGAAACTAACAAAGACACATGCCCAACCTGTACACATCACATACTTTTAACTGAAGAAAGCAATGTATCGGATCAAACCTTGTCTCAACCTCAGCACAGTCAACCCATGAGAGTCTTGCTGGACATTTCATCAGAGACAGAACAGGCTCAGTCTACAGCAGATAAAAATATTTTAATAGAGAACCCATCAATCATGTATGCAAAACCATCTACAGCTAATTCCATCTCAAATGATTCTGAGTGCAATCTAGGTCAACCTACTGATAGTGGGTTGATTGAGAGAGATCAAAGGCCCGCTCCTTTTCATGAAGTTCAGACCTCAGAACTTCGGATCAGGGATGGTATTTCCAAAAATACTGAACTGAGCCCTAAATCAAACGTTAATCTTTCAGGAATGTACGCAGGAGATGTCTTCTATATTCAAACAAAACCTGCTACGGTTAATCTGCTGAACATTAAAAAGAATCAAAAGGAGCAGTTGCCAGATAGACCATCAAACCTCAAATCCCTCGCATCTCAGACAGATAGTATTGAGCTCCTCACCCCTGAGCACTGGATAGACAATGACACATTCCAGAAGTCCAGCTCTCATTCCTCCCAGCGGACTAAAGATGAGGAAGAATGTTTGACAGAAGTGCCAGAAAAAGTGTATGGTTTCTCACAGATAGTTACTAATATTTCCCAGGAAAAAGATTGGCCTGATCCTCCTCCACAAATATTGTTCTTTGATGATTGTACAGATAAAATTCTCCCCGAGGATTCTTACAGTAGCTCATACCAGTCAGTTAATGAAGATATTGGTTGGAGTGAACAGTGTCCAGAGGTGCCATCTAGAGTTTTCAAATCTGAGCCTTCAAGGAGTACTTGTCCTGTAATTAAACTTGTAACATTTCCAAATGAAGCGGAAGAAGCTACAAGTAGTGAGCTAAATGTTCCACTAAATAAGCACAATTCAGTGTCATCTAAAGAATCACAGAGTATGAATACTGGAAGCACAGGGGCAGCAACATGCTTAGTTAGTGTGGGCACTGAACTCATAGTGAAGAACTCTGATGGAATCAAAGAATACTGCCTAAAATGTGAAGATAAGCCCTTATCTCTTCATTCAGATCCCACAAAGACAGACAAACATCCTGTGCCTCATGGAGGTTTTGTCCAGTCAATCCCCATTGGTGTGACAGCTGTTCGAACCACCTACATGATAAGGACATGTCAAGTGAAGGCTGTGCCAGTCATTCCTCCAAAAGTACAATTTACCCAGGTCCCCCAACCTTTACAGAAGAAGTACGCAGCAGCCCCTTTCCTTCCTCTTGATAAAGTATTGACAGCATTGCAACCTAGCATAGTGTATGAGTCAACTTGTCCTGAGAGCAAAAATGGACCGGAAACATGTCATCCAAGTTTGCCAATAACTGAAACTAAAGAAGGGAAGGAAAATGACCTGCCAATTTCAACAAAATCCAAAGTGTCTGGACATCAAACCCACATTGTTCCACCTGACCCCACTGTCTCGCAGTCCAAAACCACCCAGGAAGCTCCAGTTGTAAGAAGAGCCTGCAAGACAAATGGAGAAGATGTAATGGGCAGTCCAACATCTTCAAAAGCAGAAAGATCTCCAGCCCTGCAAAAACACGCTTTTTTGCGGCACACACAGCACAGGACAAGGCCGGGCAGGCCACAGAGCCTCATCCTGTTCAGCTCGCCATGGCCTAATATGGAGCGTACTTCTTCAGTGGAGTCCAACAAGGTGCTTCTTAGCCCCATAAGATCTAGCACTGATCAATTACACCAATTGGGACTTGACTGCTCCACTTCTGGTGGCTGCTCTAATGAACTCAATGAAAATCAGAAGGCGCCAGAGGGTGTTACTCTTCGAAGTAAAATGAGCATCCCTAAAAATGGTCAGAGATTGGAGACTTCAACAAGTTGCTTCTATCAACCTCAGAGAAGGTCCATGATATTTGAAAACAGAGGTGGTAGGCAAATCGAATGATTAAGTTACATATCTGTCAACCTAAGGTTGGCTGGACAAGATTTATTTCTGCAAAATCTTTTTCACCCCCCCAACAATCCATAAGTATCCTTTCAGCCACTTCTCAAACGGTCACAAAACACTGATAAACATTTAAATTGTGTAGCAGAAAGAGCACAAAATAGAAGATATGGCATAGTTGGCCTTTGTGCAGGTTATGAAATAATGTCATTCGGACAACCAGTATAGAGTGTGGGAAGATCACACATGGCAGCCATTCAGTGAACGAAAACTGCATATCTTTAATTTTAACATGGATCACATCAAACAAAATATATCCATGTATATATCTTAAGTGAAGAATTATATGTATAAAAAAACCTGGTGAACATTTTGCTTTTTTAAAAAAACATATTTTTAAGTGTCTTATTATGTGCAATGAATACAAGTCAGATCTGGTTACTGCAAGGCTGTACAGCACTCTGTTCTAATACTGATAGTTTAGCTTTCCCACTACAAGAGAGTGGATGCTCTTTTCCCAATAACTTCAAGGTGTATAATACTGTAATATTTATTACACCTTTTAAACTCTTAAGTCAACAATATGATAACAGCTACCAGTATGTGCATTATTGGTGATTATTGTACTTAGCGATTATTTTTTCACCAGTGATGGATGTCCTGCTGTTTGATTACTTGATATACTCTATATTATTTGATATAGATCGTGAATTCAAATGATTATATTTTCCAAATGCAATTAGGATCCCATCCCACTTCCTAACAAAATTACAAAAGAACTGAATTATGTCATTGGCTAAAGCAGATAACCTACAATACATGGGCTGCTGTATTATTTATCTGGAGACAACTATCACAAAGGATAAAGATTCCATCAACGTTCCCATCATTGCTTTATTTCTCAATTTCAAATGTTTATGTATCTCTATAATTTTTGCTACATTGTCAAATATTAAATGTAAGCAATTGCCAAAAAAACAAAGAGAATTAAAAGATTTGAAAAACAATACACATGTGGCTTCCCAATTATTTTAGGATTTATTTTAGAGTGTGAATTACTTTAAGAGCCTTCTTCATTTCATAGGGAATCACCAGTTTTACTTCTACCTTTTAAAAAGATGTGTCTGAAGCACATGATCCCTTTGAGTTGTGTTCAGAAATACACAACCAGCAAACTAGCCTTGGGCAAATGTATATTGTGTACCTGCATGAGACGGGTATAAATTGGTACCAGCCTTCAACATGTATGCGTTGTGTGTTGTAATAGGTTTTCAGCCTATCTGGCCCTACCATTTGAAACTTCATTTCACAGTCCCTCCACCTCGCCCCCTCGCTTCCTTCAAGGCCCATCTCTTGAACCTCCTCTTCAACCGCGCCTTTGTTTTTTTTAACAAAAAGCTGCACAGCCTCCTGTACATGTGCAGTATCCACTGTTGTTTGCTGACAAAATAGGGCATAGTAACATCTTCGTGCATCCTACAGGCTGTAGTATCCAGGAATTCTCAGCACTTGTGGTCCTGCATCAAATATTAGGCCAAAGTCATCTCTTATCAGTAACTTTCTCCTTTAGGATAAGTATGACCATCAAAGTTGGTAGCAGAAATACAAGTCCATTGTAAATTTTGACAGTATGTTAATTTTGGTGACTTTGAAAAGGAATTAAAATGTTGCAAATTCTTATGATGGACTAATAGAATTATTGTTGATCACAATGTATGTCTATGCCTCTCTGACTTTCACTTTTACTTTATAATGTTTCCCATAAATTCCCCGAAGCTTTACCAACGGATGGCTTAAGGTCTTTCAGACTTGGGAAACACAAGCTCTGCTGTAATATTTCAACCGCACCAGCCTTCTGCAAGGCTATTGTGACTGATCGACTTGTCATGGGCAACTCGTCTGAAGGAAATCTACCTACCATCTTTTTGTAAACTTATTGGACTCGAACGCAGAAGAAGGAAGATGTACAAAGAGTTCCGATGTAATTACTTTGCATAGGGAGTGGTGAATCTGTGGAACAAACTACCCAGAGTCAGGCAGATTGTGTCAGCAAATTCAAGAGAGAATTCAATTAGATTTGGCGATGAATTCAATTGAAAGATATGAAAAAGAAAGAACTTGTATCTTTTACCAGTTTATCAAATTGAAACATCTCAAAGCACTCCAGTTACTGTCAAGTGAAATAACTATTTTTGTAGGCAAATGCGGCAGCCATTTGAATAAATTACCCAATTGATCTGGAAGCCACCATATGGAGAAAAATTTCTCTCTCTTTTAATACTTTCATTGCATCTTTAACGTCCACCTGAACAGGCAGATGTGAGCCTGTTTTAAAGTTTCTTCTAAAAGATGTTAACTCTGACAATGCAGTGCTCCTCTTGCATTTTACTAGACTATTAACTATTATTTGTTTATAATAATAATCCTTGCATTTGATATCGAGCCTTATCACATCTTCTAGACGTTTCAAAGTGCTTCAGAGAATATACTGTAAAGTGAATTGACTGTATATTTTGTGGATGAAACGGGGCAGGCAATTGCACACAGAAGTGTCCCACAAACAGTTGTAGATTGAGTGACCAAATTATTATTATTATAATTTTAAAAACTTTTTTTAAAGGGATTATTACCCCCGGAAAAGCGATCCACCAATCATCAAACAACAAGTTTCCTACTTACTGCTAGGTGAACAAAGGCATGTGGAGTAAGGAAACTTGCACAACGTTTCACCCACAACAAAACAAAGTCAAACTCAAGCCAGTATCCTGCTAACAACCAACTTGTAGTGCGGTCAGCTTTAGGACCAACCAACTGTGACAGGATGGGGCGGAGTGGGGGGTGAGGAAGGAGAGGGGGATGACACTCACAGAGCGATCAAAGTGAAAAGCCGTATTGTTTTAATATTCACACAACGTTTCTGGAATATGCAGGATCAACCTGCCGTGTCATTGAGCTGTGTTTTTAACAACAGAACTGCAAATGATAAGATCAAGGTGTGGCAGAGAAGCCTGCATAGCAGGAGACGTGCAAGGTGATGCATCAAATGCAACGATTATCATTAGTCAAATTGCCTCACCCTTCACCAGTGTTTGGACCAACCCAATGCTCGTCACTGGACGAACACTAACTCAACATTGAAGTATTTTCATCATCTTTAATGATGTTGATAATAGTCTCGCAATAATTTTTCCTTACACAACAACAACAACAAAATTACATTTATAGAGCGCCCTTCACGTCGGGAGGACGTCCCAAAACGCTGAACAATTCGGTGCCAGGGCCCGTGCATGCGGGAGGGGGGGTGGTGTAGGGGTGAGGGAAAGCAGAGAGGTGGGAGGGAGACCAAAGGCACGGTCGAAGAGAAGGGTCTTGAGACCGGCCTTGAAGGAGGCAAGGGAGGAAGCGAGGCGAAGGGACCGTGGGATGGAGTTTCAGAATGTGGGGGCAGAGAGGCTGAAAGCCCGGCCACCGATGGTAGGGCGGGTCGGGCGGGAGACATGGAGTAGGCCGGAACCTGCTGAACGGAGGGAGCGGGCAGGTTGGTAGGGAGTCAGCAGAGCAGTAGGAAGGGGCAAGGGCCATGGATGGTCTTGAAAGTGAGGATGAGGATCTTGAACTTGAACCTCTGGGGGATGGGGAGCCAGTGGAGTCGGGCGAGGGTGGGAGTGATGGGGTCACGGAGCCTGGCGCGTGAGAGTACACGAGCTGCAGATTTTTGGATGATCTGCTGCTTGTGAAGGTAAGAGTTGGGAAGGCCGATGAGGAGGGAGTTCCCGTAATCGAGCCTTGAGGTGACGAATGCATGGGTGAGGTTTCGGCAGCCTGAGGGGTGAGGCAGTGGCGGAGTCTGGCAATATTGCCAGAAGTAATGGATGAAAATTGCAAGGTGTGTTGTGATAAGAATTCTTATCACAACACACCTGCAATTTTTATCCATTTTTGTGTTTATAAGAATTCTTATCATAACACATAATGTTTCAATGTCTTTACATAACCAGACACCTTTTGCTGATCCTGTCAGACCAGTCGAGCAACATTTTGTGCCGGGTAGTGTTGGCTGAAACCATCCACACCCAGAGCTAGATGAGTATGTCAGCCAGATTTTTTCTGTGAACTCTTGTATAATGTTAAGCTGAAAAGGTTTAGGAAAAACGCCCCACCTGTAGTATTCACTGTTCATGTCTCATTGTTTCAAGGTGTTATTTGATCTGGAGATTGTTTTTATCATTGTTTATTGTAGCAAAAGAAATCAGCTTTAGTTTTCTATCCCCTAATTTGTAACTAGGCACATAATTTGAGGAGTCCTGTAGCTTAGTGGTTAGAGCGCTTGCCTCACAAGCGAGAAAACCTAGGTTTGATTTCTAGCAGGGCAAAATATTGGGCAAGTTTCCTTACTCCACACACTTCTGTGTACTTAGCAGTAAGTAGGATCCCGGTTGGTAGTCGATTGGTGGATCACTTTTCCGGGGGTAATAATTTCTTCAAAATAAATAAAAATAATTTGGTCACTCAATCCATGATTGTTTATAGGACACTGCTGTACGCAATTGGCTGCCGCATTTTGCTCACAAAATATAAAGTAAATTCACTTTACAGTATATTCTGTGAAGTGCTTTGAGATGTTTTGAAGTTGTGATAAAATGCTATATAAAATGTAAGGATTATTATTGTTATAACTACATAATGGGTCCAAGGGCCCCTCCAAGTACTTTACTCGAGTGATGATTCATCTGCAAATGTAGACAGTGATTGTCAACTGGGTGATCTATTGTGGCCAATTGCAGCAACAACACCAACTTGGATTTATAAGGGGTCACACCTCAGAGCACTGTCCAAAGAAGGTGCTGGATACGGAGCAGCCTTAGCTGGTAATTCAACACGCCTACAGCTTATACATGGGACCACATCATGTGCTGAATTTTCTCACTGAGCCATTAATAATAATAATCCTTGCCTTTGATATAGCTCCTTATCATGGCGTTGAGACATCTCTAAGTGCTTCACAGAATTTCATCACAAAGTATAGCGGTTGTATACTTGTAGGCAAACACAGTAGTCAATTTGTACCCAACAATGCTTCACAAACAGCTATGAAGTAAGTGATCAATTTTATCTGGGGGATTGTTGGTCAGAACACCAGGAAAAACCTTCTCCCGTCCAATAGTGGTTTCAGTTTAACAGTTCATCTGCAAGTCGTACAACGTTTCTCATCCCTTTTGTGTAACATTCAAAGTTTAATAAAGCTAAGTGTACTAGGTGGCCTCTGTTTTCAGTTCTATCCCTGTCAGTGCAAATCCACACTCTTGTGGAACATCTCTACTTAGAGCAACAGCTATTCTCACTTGATTTACTGCTCATGCAATTAAGATGCTTTCCTCAGTGTCTTATCGCATTACCAGGCCACTGAGACAAGTAACTACCTGTTTTGTGTATGTCCCTACCTCCCTCTTTAAGAATTTAACAAACTTGAAAACACGACTGGGAAGATACAATGGACTTTGATTAGCCCTAGACAATCCTATGTCTACTAACTATAATCGATAATAAAACAAACACAACATTGGAAATAAATAACCCTCAATACTAAAACTGTGTAAAAAAAACTAGCAGGACTTAACTAATGTTAGTAAATTAAAAAGCAATCTGGATTTGGAGGTCGTCCCTCTCAATGCATGCACCTAGATAGTGACCAAAACCTAGCGACCACGAGTCAAGACAGCCCTCCTCCTTTTAAGTGAGTTTGGCTTATCCCCTTAAACAATGTATCAGGTGTATTTACTTTCTTTATCATAAACAACTCAAATCCTTTGCACTTGAAATGGTATCTGTCTCAGCAAAGACTCGGCTTAGGCATAATAGATAAATCCACCTGATCTTAATTTGTAAAACCTTTTCGCATTAAAATTGAAACATGCGCAAAATTGTGAAAAATTCTTAAATTCAATCTTGATTTGAAAGACAGTTTCTGAAGTTCTGCAAGAGAACTGGTTTCTAAATTAAGACTGAAATAAATGAATGTATTCCAGTCAAATTACTTCTTAAAAAAAAATGGTCTTACAGGCTAAGATTATGTGGGATTTCAGGTCAGCCTTGCCTCCAGCGTGGGCGGAGCCAATGTTTGGGCAGAAGAGAGGCGATAGGATTCCACATAATCCTTGCCAAAGTCCTAGAACGCATTGTTGCTAATCAACTCCGCGCACACCTCTCCTCCCATTCCCTCTTCAAACCCCTCCAGTCCGACTTCCCTCCTGCCCACAGTTCAGAGGCTGCGCTTGTGAAAGTTTCAAAAAACATTCTCCCTCTGCCTCCTTGTCCTCTTGGACCTCTCTGCCGCTTTCGACACAGTCGATCCCGCTATCCTCCTCCACCACCTTTCCTCCATCATCCACCTCAGTGGGACCGCACTCGCCTGGTTCGAGTCCTATTTCACAAACTGCCAGCAGTACGGGTTTTCCTCCCGCTCTCACCCAGTTACCTTTGGCTCTCGTCATACTCTTTGGCTCTCGTCAACGTCTAAAATCATTCGTTTCTCACCTCCTCCACCTATCCGACCTCCCACAAAAACTCTCCAAACCCAAATGCAACCAAGGCATCAAGTTCGACACCTAATTATCCTTCCTCTCCCACATCTGGTCCCTCACCAGCACCGCTTTCTTCCACCTCCGACGCATCACCCATCTCTGCCAAAACCTTTTGTCACCTCTCGGCTGGACTATTCAAATGCCCTCCTCGCCGGTCTCTCTTCACTATCATTCATAAAATCCAGGTCATCCAGAACTCTGCCACCTGCCTTTTTACCCGCAGCAAACTCCAATCCCCGATTACCCCAGTCCTTACCAGACTGCACTGGCTGCCTGTCCCAGAGATGATCGACTTCAAGATCCTCACTCTTGTCTTCAAATCCCTCCACTCCTCTGCACCCCCTACCTCTCTGACCTCCTCACAACAGTGCCCATTGGCTTCGCTCCACCGGGTCTGGCCTCCTCCTTGTCCCCCGAATCCTCCGCTTCACCATCGGCGGCCACGCCTTCAGTCACTATGCCCCGAGGCTCTGGAACTCCGTTCCTCACTCCCTTCGCCTCACCCCCTCTCTTCCTATTTTCAGGTCTCGGCTGAAGACCTTTCTTTAGGACTGCGCCTTTGGTCACCTTCCTCCTCCTCCCTCTGGCTCGGCTCCAGGATCCGTTATTGTGAAAACCTCTGAGACACCGTCCGGCGTGGAAGGCGCTATATAAATCCAAGTTGTTGTTGTTTTTGATAGATCTTGGAGCGCAACAACCCTTTTCGGATCTCAACTCACAGTAAGGTTCTCCCAGTTGTAGCACTGGGAATTCAGCCATTTTACATTACCAGTTGCTTCAAGATACAGGTTTGTCTCAGGAGCCAAACTTATAATGTAAAAGAGACATTTCATGGGTTCAAATTTAGTTAGTGGGTGAGCGGGGGTTGGGACTGGAGCAGCTACTAGAACGAGCTACACAAGCCAATATTATCTCTCAAGCTGCACCCTTGACAGTGGAAAACAGTTTTGAATGCATTTACAGTCACTCAAGCCAACTCTTCACTACAATGAAAATAGGCACACCCAGTTAATCGTGTTAAAGGAACAGATATCACCCAGAGGCAGCACTAAGAAATGTCGCATTCAATCAAGTCAGATCATGGTTTCTTGAAATAACATGTTTAGAATTATACATTAGAAACATTCATCTGCATAATTTTTATGACACTAGACATTAAATCCAAGTCATGTATACGGTCTGCGCAATGCTCCATTGAAACAGAGGCTACCTTCAGCAATAAATAGGCAGCCAGCCAAGGAACCAGTCATGCTGGTATTTTCCAAACTTAGGAGTGCCTGTGAGACTCACCTAAAATGTTTATTGACTCTATGTTGTACCTGATGGAATACAAAACAGTAGGACCATAACATTGAATATGACTTACACAAAGTCAAGAGTTGCAGGCAAATAGTACAAATCATAAAAAATCCGATTTAATGAATAATCTACATTGTGCATGAGTAATTTAATGCAGCCAGTAAGTGCACATGCAATAATTCGTAACTGCAGCTGGTAAATGAGCTTGCGATGACGGGTCGAGACAACATTTCCCACAATTCAGTGAGTCTTGACCAGGACTGGGGAAATGGAGCTATGGAATTCAATGCCGGTGAGAATGCAGGCTGCGGAGTTTTCAATGAGTTAAATTTTGTGAATATGGAGCAGGGGAGACTGGTGAGGAGGAAGTTTAAGTACTCGAAGCAGGAGGTGACGAAGGCATGGATGAGAGTTTTGGCAACATTTGGAGTGAGGTACATCCATGGGCAATGTGGTGGAGGTGCAAGTCAGGGACCGGATGTGGGGTACAAAGGAAAACTGGGGATTGAACCTGACAGCTTAATTGCACACAGGGTTCATTAAGTCTTAGATAATAATAATAATAATAATAATAATAATAATCCTTGCATTTGATATAGCGCTTTTCACGTCAGGAGGACGTCCCAAAGCGCTTCACAGAACACACTGTAAAGTGAATTGACTGCATATTTGTGGGCGAACGCGGCAGCCAATTGCGCACAGCAATGTCCCACAAACAGTCGTAGATTGAAAATGACCAATTTTTTTTTTATTATTGTTTTTGATTTTGGAGGGATTATTATTAGGCATGTGGAGTAAGGAAACTTGCCCAAGGTTTCGCCCTGCCTGGAATTGAACTCAGGTCTCTCGCTTGCAAAGCGAGTGCTCTAACCACTGAGCTACAGGACTCCGGGGGAGCTAGATGGGGGAGGGGGAGGGGGAGGAGATCAGACCTCGGGGAAAGATGTGGGAGGAGATCAGACCTCGGGGGGTGGGGTGGGTGGGGAGATGCGGGAGGCGGTCAGACCTCGCGGGGGAGATGGGGAAAGGGGTCAGACCTCAGGGGGGAGGATGGGGAAGGGGGAGTAGATCAGATCTCGGGGCGGGAAGATGGGGGAGGGGGAGTAGATCAGATCTCGGGGGGGGGGGCAGATAGGGGAGGGGGAGGAGGTCAGACCTTGGGGAGAAATGGGGAAGGAGGTCAGACCTTGGGGAGAGATGGGGGAGGAGGTCAGACCTTGGGGAGAGATGGGGGAGGGGGAGGAGGTCAGACCTCGGGGAATGATCGGGGAGGGGGAGGACTAATGAAAACCATCATGTTTATGAGTCAAGTCCAGCTACCAACTTATGTTTGCCAGTTCAGGGTAGTATCCCAGAGTGCTTGGCAGTTACCAATTTAAAAAATTTTAATTTATTATTACTCACTTATTCAAAGAGAATACAAGCAGTAAGACCCCTACTTTAACTCCCCTCCTTGGAAGCTGATAAGTTGGTTGAGACAATTCATAACTGTGGGCTTTGTCTCTCACTAATTGGGGGAAATTCCAGAGACTAAATTTGCTCTATGTAGAGCATCCACAATTTGGCAAATTTTAATACAGCCTCAATTGTAAAGCTTGTTTTATCTTTGTGTTTTTTTAAAAAAATGTAAAAGGATTACAGAAAACCAACTACTGGTTTGAGACTGAATTCAGCAATTTGCCAAAGAAAAACTTCACCAAGCACCGGCTTCCAGGGACATCCTTCTAGGAACAATCACCATTTTCATGGAGAGGTTTGAAGCTCAGACTATTTCAATCTCCCACCCAGGCAAAACACTAGGCATCAGCCTTTTTCAGCAATAAATCAAGATTTGAATACTTTATTCATAAAATGAAGTTTCCAGTACAACAGGCTTAAACTACACTAAGACCCTTCACACTTACAATGTACATTATATATTACATGTCTTGTACTCAAGTGATTAACTTACGGTGCATAAGAATGATACTGAACAGTCTCAAGCAACCTGAATTCTTCATGCATGTTTCCACAAAAAACATCAACAATCCTCATGCCACACTAAATACTACAATCAGATAAGAATGCAGGTCAACAAGAATATTACACAAAACATCAATTCTGTCATTGATCATTTTATTTAAAATACAGTATCATCATGATTTAAAGATCCTTAAGGTATCAATTCAGATATTTATAACTGTATCCTTTTTCTCTTTAGTAACTTATTTTAGCTTCAAGACCAGATAAAGGAAACAAATCCATAAAGAAGACCTATGCTTTACATTATGGAATCAGTCTCCGGTCCTTACCCCTCCACCTGTCCTCGAAACCACAATTTTTAAATCGCTTGGAATGGGGAGGGGAAGATCAGGAAAAAGAATAGAAGGGTGATCTAGAAAGCTATAAGTTTTATTTTCCCAAATAAGCTACACAACAAGGAATCTGGTTATATTGCAATGTATTTAACAAAATCCTTCGATGCCAAGTTTGAGATGCAACTAGCTAGAGTGGTGGAAGAATGGGTCCTTTCTTCCAGCATCTTTTCAAAGACAATTTAACATTTGTCACAACTATCTTGAATTTCCTACAGATTTTAGAGCATTTCTAGACTCTCACTGTAACTATCCATTGTCAAGTGAAAGGGGTGGGAGGGTCGGAGAATCTTGATTTCTGAATGGCAACTGCAGTCTCAAACTAATGATTAAACCAATATTTTTTAAAACAATGAATAATTAAGATGATCCTTGTTAAAAGGCTATTATCATGGTTTTAGAATGGACACAAGTTTTGAAAACAAGTACAATTTCAACCATAGTTCAACCATTTATAAAAAGAGACAGTAAATACAACCATCTCTTTAAGCCAACAAATGAAGACATATCAGGCCAATTTAAAAACAAATACAATTTCCAATACTTCACAGGTTCAGGCAGAATTATGCTGTCCTCAGTATTGCCACACATGAAGGTTGTTGTAATCAGATTTTATACAAGCTCATATAGGAAGCTAACAGGGCTTAAATATCCAGAATGGCATAGTAGTACATTGTTCCAACAAGGACAAAGAACTGAAAAAGAAAAGGAAAAACAGTCAATAAACCAGCGCACATTTTTCTCACATTTCATTAAATACATGTTTTACTACAAAAAAAGCTCTGGCCTTCAAACATTCACTTAGGTAAAAGGCATCTCCCTAATTGTATCTGGGTCATAATTATTTGAAGATGAAATGACCCATTGCTTACGTTCTGAAACCATTTTATTTTAAACCTGCAGTCATCTCACTGGTTCCAGCATTGCGGTGTGTACTGAATTAGGCAATAGCAGCAAGGGTAGCAATTGAATTTCAATTGACCTCAGTGCCCCTCGGTTAGGAAAGGGAAATGATGGCTAAGGTTTCTATTCCCAATCACAATCCAAGAACCTTTCTCTGAAGTAAATAAAGTCCGAGTCCCTGCGAGTTGTGTGATCTACTTGGTTACCTCAGGAGTATTCTCATCCTTAAAGTATCTGGTTAGAAATTAATGCACATCAATGCCCCACAGTCACAGTTCATATATGATTGCTCATTTGGGTATAGCATCATAGGATGACCAGCAACTGCAGAATTAGAATCTAATAGAAGGGACAAAACTTCAGGAGAGGATAAACAAAATGACCAGTATTTAACAAAAGGACTTTGTGCTGGTATAATGCATTAAATATTAGTAACGTTTATACTCAATATTGAAATTAAAGAAAACACTTACAGTCCAGCAAAGGATAGCAAATCCAAACCACGCTACACCCCAAGTATGTCTGTTCAGTGGACCAACAATTGATTCAAAGCAACCCTGTGACAAAGAAAAAAGAAACTCATTAGAGAAATGCTGAAAGTCATGCTTCCTAACTTAATTTTCAGCAACAGATTAACATACAACTAGAAATAATGAATACTATAGTTCTGATGAAATCCAAATGAAAGTCAATGTATATTATATATATTTGTGGAATCCTGTAGCTCAGTGGTTAGAGCACTCGCTTTGCAAGCGAGAGACCTGAGTTCAATTCCAGGCAGGGCAAAACCTTGGGCAAGTTTCCTTACTCCACATGCCTAATAATAATCCATCCAAAACCAATAATAAATTGGGCATTTTCAATCTACGACTGTTTGTGGGACATTGCTGTGCGCAATTGGCTGTTGCGTTCGCCCACAAATATGCAGTCAATTCACTTTACAGTGTGTTCTGTGAAGCGCTTTGGGACGTCCTCCCGACGTGAAAAGCGCTATATCAAATGCAAGGATTATTATTATTATTATAAGCTAACTTCTGCAATGGAGCCATTTACTATTACTTATGCTCTGGAGAGAAATGATTCAGATTCAATTCAGCAACAAGTTGTAAGATTGTAATAGAAAGATATTCACATTACCTGGGTATAAACAAAGCCATTAACACCAAGTTTGCAGGCATCCACATTCTCTATCTGGGCAACCGAATTGGTTGTACAACATTGCCGTGGCCAGGGGAAGTCCGCATCCAAATGAGATTCTCTGAATGCAGAATTGAAATTAATCCAATCCTGGGGTCCATTTATACCGCAGCACTCATTCTAGAACAAAGAAAACAAGTTACTTCATTTAAACACATACATAGGGAGATATACAGTATCTTCTGCAGATTACATTCAGTATGACTAGGACACACAAAAAAACGATTCCACAGCTGAGATGTGGGTGTCTTGATCTTTAACACTAATAATACTAATCCTTGCATTTGCTTTATGTCGATGAGTGCTTCACAGAATATGAAAGTGGATTGATGGTATTTTGTGGGCAAAATGCAGCAGTCAATTACACATGACAGTGTCCCACAAACTGTTGTGGATCGATTGACCAAATCATTATTTTTTAAAAAAAAATTTAAGAGATCATTACTCTGAAAGCGATCTGCCAATCATCTAACAACTGGGTTCCTACTCACTGCTTGATAAAGAGGCGTGTGGAGTAAGGAAACTTGCCTAAGGTTTCGCCCGAGCTGGAAATCGGATCCAGGTCCTCTTACTTGAGAGGCGAGTGCTCTAACCACCATTCCTCTAGACTGTACAAATCAACATCCTCTATTATCCCATAGTTTCAGGGCCGAAGAAATGAAACTATGTAGTCACTTTGGTACCTTACAGTAGATAGATTTGCAAAAGGTTGCAGTTTCAAATCTTGGTGTGCAGGGAAACATTGGTGATGACGATTTGGATTTGGCTCTATGTATTTTGTGGCCCAATAACCTATTTGCTTGCTTCAACTGATATCCTGTCATAATTCAAAGTATTATTGCGTCCGAGTCAGAAGATTGTGGTCTCAAGCTCCATGATGTAGCATTGAACCTTCGTAGTCTAGGCTGGCCCTGCAGTGCACTGCTAGAGGCTGGTGAACTATTGGAACTGTCGTCCTTCAATGAGACATTAAAACCAAGGCTCACATTTGCCTGCTTAGGTGGATGTTAAAGATCCAATGGCACTATTCGAAGAGTGAAGGGAGTTTCTCCTAATGTTGAGGCCAACAATACCCCTAACAAAGTCAGAGATTCACATCATGGATGTGTGTGAGCCATTGCTGCAAACAAATAAACTATCCACAAAACACAAAGTCATTATATTTTACAGATTATCTTGTGAAGCAGTTTGAGAATGTGTGATGAGTGCTGTGCTATATGTAAGGAATATTATATAAGAAAACATGGCGTCAAATTCCTCCATTCAAATCTACACATTTTAAATGGATTAGTCATGAACAAGAGATACATTATTTCTGTTCACATTTAGGGGAAATTATCCTAGGTAGAAATCATCAACTTCTACATTTCTGGAGATAATTGCAGTGTTTTATGATGTGTTTGAGGTTTTAATTCAGTTGGTATCTTATGATGCAACTTATTAGCATCAAATCCAGAATATAAATATCAAATGTGGGTCAAAGATTCCTAATGGCAATTTTTTAAAACAAAAAATAAGCAAGAAAAGCAGCCATTCAACATTCCGATGTAGGGAAGATGGCATTTTGTATCTCAGCAATTCTTTATGGATAGCTCAGAACTTATAGTTTTATAAGTACATTCCACATGACAACTCTGTCCTTAAATATTGTAAATTGCTAAATAATGTAACTGCAACGCCTGACCACTTTTCACCGAATTACTTACCTCCGGCATGATACGTTTCCAGGCTGTAGTCAAGCCTACATAGTTTTGGAATTGTTCATCATTCTGCCAGTTTCTGTTTTCATACAACGTGAGCATTTGTTTGAGGAAGAAGTTTGGAACAAACTGCAAACAAAGTTTGGAACAATTTAATTGATTTTTCTCTTGTACACTTTCAAATAAAAGTTGCTGACTGAAAAATTTTCTGGTGGACGCGACCACGAAAACAAGAAAGAGAAAAATTGGGGGGAGTAATGTAAACTGATTTCTAGCACAACTGATTCAAACTAAACAAAACACAAAATACTGCAGATGCTGGAAATCCGAAACAAAAACAGAAGTTGCTGGGAACACTCAGCAGGTCAGGCAGTATCTATGGAGAAAGGAAAGTGAGTCAACCTTTCGGGTCCATGACCCTTCATCAGAACCCAATCTGATGATGGGTCGTGGACCCGAAATGTTGACTCACTTTCCTTTCTCCATAGATGCTGCCTGACCTGCTGAGTACTCCCAGCAACTTCTGATTCAAACTAAAAATTGTTGCCAATGCCAGCTTTATTTGCACTGGTTTTGAAAGATGGACAGTTTATTCAAATTAAAGATGCTGCAAATGCATTTGATCCTGTGTCTCTTGATTCACAGCTTATATTTTCACACAACCTAGTTTTTTACTTGTTCATTCCATTAAAGGGCAAGTTTGAATTTATTTTCCACTAATTTTGTGAAAAAACTTCCAAGCCCAAATATAGCAAAGTTAAATGGACTATAAACAATACCAGTTACACGATATCTAAAGTAATTGGATTGGAGTTATTAGATCAGTAACCAAGTGTAGTGAATAACAGGAGGACAGAAATTTGAGCATTTTCACTCGAAGAAAAAAGAAGGAAAATTAGAAAATTCTCCAAACCAAGGCTTTGTTTATACCCAGGTAGTGTGAATGATTTTTCTATTACAAAAAATAGAAAAATTCTTCAAAGCAAAATGTTGTACCACAAATAGTAAGAGTTCATAAATGTGATTTAAGCAGGAATTGGAGAAAATAGATTAACTTGAAAGAGGAGGGGAAATGGGATTTAAAATTGGTAGCTCCAGTGAAAGAGCTAGATCTGGTACAGACATGATTGGCTAACCAACACAGACATAATTGCCTGAAGACCTCAGTTTATGGTGTAAACATTATATAATTCTATGGAGCACTGGTTAAACATTAACATCAATCATTTGATGTCAAGAATGTGTCCATAGATGAAGCGCCAAAGTTCATATTGCACTACATCACGAAGATTCTACATAATATAGAATCGGGCAAGGAGAAGCCAGGATTAGATTTAAAAAATATAGGAAGTAGGAAGGTTGAGGATGTTATTGCTATTTTGAAGGTGATTGACGCAGTAGTGCAAAAATGAGTAAGATGGAAAGGTTGCAAAGGCTTGAGAGAAAATAGAGAGAGTGAAAGAGGATTTAAGTTGTCACACTACAAGTCTTTTTGTATATCACTCAAGAGTTCAACTACAGTGATGGAAGAACTTCCAGACACTGGAACAATATTCAACTCTTAGATACACTTCCTTGGATCAATGGAAAAGATGTAAAAACACCATTTAGAGACTAGAATATGAATAGCAAAGAGAGGAGGTATCAAAGGTGGCAATTGTTGGTTAGACTTGCAAGGCAACCAAAGACATTGTCAGAAAAATTGAAACAAGGATTAATTCCCCCCCACCAATTAAAGGGTTATGTGTTGCTTTAGAGACAAAACTACAATTTCCTCAAGTTTTGCTCTAAACATATTCCCTATTGTAGAAAGAAGCTACTTACAAAATCTCGGTGTGTTGCAGCTGTGATACAGGATGCTACTTCGAAAATGAAGACAATAATCATCAAAATTAAATACTGAAAAATAAAGCAAAACTACTGTAAGAATGGCAATCACAAAAAACCTCAAAATATCCACATAAAACATGATCTTCCCCAAGATTTAATACAGAAACTTATAGATTTATAAAAGACCACTGAAATCTATCTGATAGTCCCGAAAAAGAAACCTAACCCACCCTACTTTCTACAACTGTTCAATTGAATTCCTCATTTTACCATGTGGTAATGGGTCATGACTACATTTACTGTGAGTCAATGCAGCCAGCAGGGAAATACGCATTCGGCGATGGCATTTCCCTCAATTCAATGCAGCCATTAATTGCGTGAGTAATGGAGGATAGAGGAGCGGGTTACAAGTTCGGAGATGAATACAACTAGGACAAAGAATTCTAAGCAGTTTTGATAGGAAATTGAATGAGACTTGGGCACATGTATGACTTAGGATTCATAATGATAAGATTTATGCAAGTTTTACGGTAACTCCCCCTTGAATTTGCTGATATCAAAATCAAGTCCTCAATTTAATAGCATTGAATTTACAATAATGAGATCATTGAGTAACAAACCAGAGCCTACTATTTACATAGAATAATCTAGGTGAAGGGACCTCTTTTTAGCCAGACGATTTTCCTCTCAAAATAAGTGTAAAATTACAAGTCTGTCCCAAAGGCTTTAGCGAATAGCTTTATTGTGAGAGAATTGAATCCATCTTTGGAAGCTGGATCTATCCCAAGATAGCACAACATAAATAGTCAAAGATTTACAGTCACATTCTACTGTTGCATGGCAATAAATTTACCCTCTCAATTTAAAAAAACACAGCTTAAGCTCCATTATGTTCATAAATTGGATCTCAGCAATAGAAATAGGGCTGTTATAATAATACTTGCATTTGATATAGTGCCCCATCACGTCATTAAGACATCTCAAAGTGCTTCACAGAAGATACTGTAAAGTGAATTAAGATTAAGCTACACTAAGTCTAGATGTAACTCTTTTGAAGAGCCTGTGTAGGCACAATGGCTGAAAGACCTCCTTCCGGGGCGATACATTTTCTTTATTCTATGTGTGAATTTGCATTCTACGTGCAAACAGTAGATTGCAGGTAATGCTGCCCTCAAAGGCAATGTAGTTTTCAACCTTTTCTAGAAAAGGGGTAAAGGGAGAAACAGAGGACAATATTTCCTACCAAATGGGACAAAATTAGTTTACTGAACACACAAAAAAAAATCACAAGTACAACTCACTACACATCAAGATGAGCCAAGTTTAATATTTACCAATTACACTATCATAGCATTCAACAGCACCAATCTTCAGGCTCGAAGTCAAGTCAAATGGTTTTGTTCATGTCGTCATTCATCACTGAAAGCATTCAATTTACAGAAACAATGGAGCTCATAATAATGAATGTTCTATGAATTATTTCTAATGCAAGTTGTATTTCTAATCAGCAGAATCTAAAACTTACTGCAAGTAGAAGACCTCTGAATGATTTCATGACTCCAACTATACCAACTATAGCCAGTATAAAGAAAGAGAAGCCAGTAAAGAGCCCAATCCAAGCAGCAGCAAATATATCATCATTGTGAGCAGCTGAAAGGAGAGGCCAAAGGCCATGCTGATCTGAAACGTGGTAGATGCATTCAGCGGTCAATGCCAGGCCACACAACTGTGAACAGAAAAGAAAACATTAGTGAACTGCAGACCTTTATATTTTAAAAAATATATATCTGTGCTTCACTTGGAAAATAAGTAATTTAGCAATGTAAATAACAATGCTGTTTAAAATGCAATCAGTTTGTCTTCTGGTCAGAAGTGACCAGAATATTAGTCGCATCTATAAATTGTAAATAATCCTGGTGAAAATGCAAAATTATCTATGAGATCAAGGTTGGGAAAACAGGTTTGTAGAAGCACACTGTTCTCACATGAACTCACTAGGCTACCTAATTGGGATTTTTTCCAGCCTATTTAATTTCACTGTACTCACACTCAGAAGTTTACACGCAAAATTAAATGAACTGCAATAAATAAATAAAAATCATACCTTTAAAATAATGAACAGACAAGTGCCATTCTTGGTTTAGCAAACCAAAGGGCTGTGAACCATGTATCCTTCACAATGTCATATATGCCAGAATACAATCACTTTCAAATCTGGAACTACTGACGTTAAAGTGAAAATGCCACTTATGGTAGAGTCAGGCCAGCTCTGGATGGGGTGGTAAACATCAGTAATGCACGTTACCTCGGTTAGCTTACAACAGTGCCACCATCAACAGTGCTGCTAGCCATTGCAAAAAATGTACGTTAGATCCAGTAATAGATAGCAAAAAATTTGAGAGGTATTGTTTTTGTATATGATGTCATTAGTGCTCTCACGCTTTGCCATTGGGTTATGAATGTGCTTCTAGCACAAGGAAAGGCAGTCAACAGGAGATGTACATTTTTGATTATCCTTTTGCAATAAAAATTGCCTTGTCTGAACTAGAAATCACTAAATGATATTCTAAGACTTCTCATTATTGACATTTATAGGAGCTGGTTACCATCTTCACAATTTTATTATAAATAACTTCCTTTGCCTTACTTTTGTGGGAAGTATACAATCCAATAACACAAAACCAAAATATTTGGATTTAAACTCTTACCATCATCTGACTGGCTTACTATATTTTAATCCTAAATTGCGGAGAGACACCCTGACCGGCCCAGAGAGACACCCTGACTATCTGAGTTAGTGCACACTCCAATTCCTGCAGTTTTGAGTGGAACTGGTCAAGTTTTTCCCAAGAGAGAATCAGAAACACATTTTCTTATATTAAACCTTGGTTAGTTTTAACTTCTAAAGCATTCATTATTCAAAAACTCAATAGAAAATGCACATGGAGATAGTTTAGAAAAGATCCAAACATTATTAACCTACGATTTAAGTCTCCTCTCTGTTTACATTGCACAACAGAATGGTTAGGTAAAGATGAATCTCATCACTCCCCATTCCAGAAATTGTTAGTTGTTTGAATCACCCCCTTTAGAAAACCAAATCTGAATATCTAAGCCACGTCATACTGCCACATGTGGCAGGAAGCTCCACACCCAATCATTTCCTAAGTGCTTAAAATTAATTGGGCATTTAAGATCTCCAAAATTGATTGTCTTGTCACAAATACATCAGGTTAAAGGTTGCCTGAGGACGACAAAGACAGAGAAACAATCCTTCCATCATGAATATCCACCATAAACTGTTGTATCCCTTCATTTTCTTACAAGATTAGTTGGGATAAAGAAGGCCCTTTGGCCCATCAGATCCCATTCTTCCAAAATACCCAACTTATTCCCTATCACAGCATCAAGCTGCTTTTTAAATGAGTCCAGTAACCTGGGCATTGACCCTTCCTTGGCAACCTGTTCCAGTTACAACTGGAATCATATACCAGCTACTATAGGAAAGGAAAACAACAAAGAAACCAGATCTCAATAGCAAGATCCTCACAATTGTACTAACTGTCCACACTCACTTATGAAAACAAAAATCACTTGAGTGATATACTGAAAGACGCTCACACCTAGGGAACATGATCGCAGCATACCTACCTTGTCTACCTACAAGATTTGTTTTGTTCAGTCAAGTGTTTGACATGTGGAAACCCATCATCATGGTGAAGAGTATTCAAACCAAAGAGTTCTGTACATCCTACCTATTCATGGAATTCCCTTATATTGGAATGGAAAGCGGTTATTAGGCACAGGCTGTCAAGTGCCAATTTTCGGGCACTACAAAGTATGCATTAGGGTACAGACATAGTCTAACCAGCTAAAACCATCTAACTTGCCAATGAAAGCATTGTCTGTCAAGCTTTCCAGGTAGGATCACCCTACCCATTTAGGCTTTGGTTTACAACAATAACTTGCACTTATATAGCGCCTTCCACGCAGGTAGCATCTCAGAGTGTTTAACAGTGGTGGAGCCTGACTGTGGGGGTGAGGTGGGGAGGTGGCCGTAAGCGCAGTCAAACAGGAAAATCTTCAGGCGGGACTTGAAAGAGGGGGAAAGGGAACAAGGCAGAAGGATTGAGGGAGAGTTTCCAGAGTTTTGGGGCGTAGTGGCTGAAAGCGTGACCTCCAATGGTGGAGCAAGGGATGCGAGGTATGAGCAGGACGCCAGCCAAGCGGAGGCTGCGGGTGGTGGATTAGGGAGTGAGGAGGTCGGAGAGGTAGGGAGGTGCCCAGGAGTGAATGGATTTGAAAACAAGAGTGAGGATCCTGAAGTCGATCCACTCATGATGTGGAGCCAGTGGAGCCTGGCCAGAACTGAGGAGATGTGGGTACAGAGTTTGCTTCGGGTCAATATGCGGGCAGCGAGTTTTGAATGAGCTGGATGTTGTGAATGGTGGAGCTGGCGGAGACCAGCGAGAAGTGTGTTGGAGTAATCCAAGCGGGAGGTCACAAAAGTATGCATGAGGGTTTCGGCTGCATTTGGGGTAAGGCACAATCGGAGGCGGGCAATGTGGCAGAGGAGGAAGAAAGCAGTCCTGGTCAGGGAACAGATGTGGAGGAGGAAGGGCAATTGGGGGTCGAACCAGATGCCTAGGTTGCAAACTGGTTCTGTGAGTCTGAGGGAGACGCCAGGGAGATTGAGGAGTTCAGATCCGCAGGAGTGAAGATGCTGACGGGAGCTAAAGAGTATGGCTGCCATCTTGTCCATATTCAGCTGCAGGAAGTTTACACTTATAGATTCATAGATTCATGAATTCATAGAATGTTACGGCACAGAAGGAGGCCATTCGACCCATCGAGTCTGTGCCGGCTCTTTGACAGAGCAAGTCACTTTCACTAACCCCAATCACCAGCTTTCTCCCCATAACCCGGCAAACCCGTCTTCCCCAGATACCTATCCAGTTCTCTCTTAAAAGCTGTTATCGAATCAGACTTCACTACCCTTTCAGGCAGATGCCTTTGGTCGCCCTTCCACCTCTCTGCCTTCCTTCATCCCTACACCACCCTTCCCCTATGCTCAGGTCCCGACCCCTGACTGTTCAGCGCTTTGGGAAGTCCTCTTGATGTACATAAATGTAATTTTGTTGTTGTTTAGGTGGAGATTGAAATCACCCATTATGAGGAGGTGTTCAGTGCAGAGGGACAGGGATGAGAGGAGGTTTACAGGATTAACAGGAGCTGAACAGGAAGAATCCCTAGCCAGTGACTTCTTGTCCCCCGAGTCCTGCCAATGAGCTGTGCTGGCTGTGCTATTCCACGTGTGCAATTCTCTGGAGTATTGCGGACCTGCCTAGCTCAGGAATCAGACCACCAAAACCACCTGACATTGATTCTAACATTCTATTGCCAAGCTGCCACCTTGGAGCCAGTTCAGCTCCAGGGGGACCCTGCTTCCCCTCCCATGCCCCAAAAAGAGGATAGTCATACCTTCAAGACAGAAAAAAATACACAAAACAAAATCTATTTTTTTTAAGTCCAAATTAAATCAGCTAACACCAATTTTCTGATGCTGAGGTCATGAAAGGTGGACTAGAAAACAAACTTCAAACATTACATTGAAGTTCAATCACAAAAGAAGGCTAGAGTAACATGGCATTTTAGGACAATGTGATAGCTGTTAAAAAGATAGCAAAGGGATCACTGGTCTCTGCTGTTAAAATAATCTCAGACCGGCCTGACACTAGAGGCACCACAAATAGACAGTGGGGGTNGGGGAGGGAGAATGAAGAATAACCAGATGGACAAGGTACAGGAGGACCACACCCATGGAACCCAAGTAGNAAAAAAATCATGCATCTCCAGATCCACCCGAACAGGCAAACAGGATCTCAGTTTAATGTCTCATTTGAAGGAGAGCACCTCCAGCAATCCAGAACAATCCCACTGGAGTGCCAGCTAGAACTGTATGAATTCCAAGTCCTAATTTGGGGCTTGAACCCACCTTCTGTCTTGGAGGTGAGAATGCTACGAATGAGCCAGGCTGACACACACCCATCAATGAATTTTTGTACAATTCAAATTACTCACCACATTCTGTAAATGTTATACAATGCTTACCATTATTACTACATTTCCAAATATCAGAAGCCCTTGAACAACCTTCACTCCTTTTGCCATTTTTCCTCAGAGATCACCTAATGTGGGAAAACAAAAGTCACACTGATATCATTACCTTGCTTTAAGTGAGTCACCATAAATGTCAGAAACATTTATTCAAGTCTGTGAATCTTATATTCTACATGGGAATCTTACACTTTGGTGGGGTTTGGAATTCTTTCTGTCACAACATATAGTATAGGGTTAAAATAAAGCAGAACTGATCTTATCGATAACAGGAAACATTGGAATAAACAGAGCTATTATAAACACCCCACCTAAATCATTTACTTAGGTTGTCTTTCAAATGCTAATTAACTGTTCAAGATTTTCTGTTTTTACAGTACGGAGTGACCTTTAAAGGCGAAAAAGGTATATTTGGTACAGTTCAAAAGGTGGCAAAAAGGAGAGGCATCTAATAAACTAGAAAAGCTCTTTGTGTGGTTAACATACACATTTCGTACAACTTACAATAGTATGAAACTATTGTAAGTTGTACAAAAGCTGAAAGCAATGAAAATAGTATATCACATCAATGGTACTACAAATATTTCAACAGTTCCCATCAAATTTAAACCCAAAACATCAACGAATTACATTTATGCATTTATGTTGGAGACCTGTAAGCTCAGTGGTTATAGCACTCGACTTGCAAGCGAGACACCTGGATTCAATTCCAGGCAGAGGGCGAAACCTTGGGCAAGTTTCCTGACTCCACACGCCTAATAATAATCCCTCCAAACAAAACAATGATAAATTGGTCTTTTTCAATCCAAGATTGTTTGTGGGACACTGCTGTGCGCAATTGGCTGCCACATTTCACCCACAAATACAGTCAATTCAAATTTGCAGCATATTCTGTGAAGCGCTTTGAGAAGATGTGAAAAGCGCTATATCAAATGCAAGGTTTATTATTATTATATAGCACCTTCCATACTAGGAGGTCATCCCAAGGCGTCATGACACTTTACAGTATATTCTGTGAAGCACATTGAGATGTCTTGGCGACGTGATAAGGCACTATATCAAATGCAAGGATTGTTATTATTATTATACCAGAGTTGGAGGTTAGATTCAGGAGAGGTAAATCAGCCTACTTAATACAAGAGGGATCCCAAATGCTTCTAAGCATATGTGGGGGTGGGTTGGGTTAGGCTGTAGTTGAAAAACCAGTTTAACAACATTCTTTAAATTCAACCCCCAACACTTGCAAAATAAATGGCCATTTCAGGCAGTAAAGTAGGTAAATTACAGCCAGATCTCAAACAAGTGCCCGGCACTAGCTGATACTTTCATTTAAACTCTATTGCCTCTTGCCTGCACGACTGACAGGCGATACCAGGCTCCAGAGTCGTTGTCTCTAGGATCTGGTCCAAAGGATCAATGTGAAACAAACAATATTGGGTTAGAATTACAGCCCACTCGCCACTTCCACTACACCTCCAACAACTCTCAAAAACGTCTTTCAAACAGAATGATTTACGGTTTATAAGGGAAAAAAGCTGATATTGCACATGGCGTTATAATAATAACAATCCTTGCATTTGATATAGCACTTTTCACGTCTTCTAGACGTCTCACAGCGCTTCACAGAATATACTGTAAAGTGAATTGACTGTATATTTGTGGGCGAATATATACCACAACTACCTTCACAATTCATCACCTGCAATTTAGCATTTACATTAACTCGAAATAAACTAGTTTCTTACAGCGATGTCTTTAAATGCCATCTGACCTGGCTGGCTTCGCCTGGGGTTATTTAAACCTAAACTCCCTCGAGCTTCAACCAGAACAGAAATTAAGTTTATAGGCAGATGAGAAACGAAATAAAAGTCTAAGCAGAATAAACTAATTGGTAGGAATAGATAAGCGACCGTCAGAGTCAGTCAGTGTCAGGTTTTACCTAAAGCAGAGCTGAAGCTGAAGCACAATTGCTCCTTCTGCTGCGAGAGAGAGAGAGAGAGAGAGAGATCGGCACCTGTGTGGCTGTAGCTGTTCTCTCTGCTGTTTGCTGAACGTCCCAGTGTGGCTGTGGCTCTGGCTGTCTGTGGCTCTGGCTGTCTGTGGCTCTGGCTCTGGCTGTCTGTGGCTGTGGCTCTGTCTGTCTGTGTATCTGTGGCTCCGCTTCGGGCTTCAGTGAAGCTCAGGACTGAAAGGCAACTATTAAAGCTCAGTGACGTGAGCACCAGGTAAGTGATGAGCAGCCACTGCCCAGAGCCCCCGCCCTAACTCTTTGGACGAGGTGTTGTCTGTTTGGGCAGAACAGGTTGATGGGTCTGTGCCCTTTTAATTTATATTTAATTAAACTAGNTTTTTTTCCTCCGGTAATAGAAATCGGATCTCCGAGGCAGTGATATCTCACCAACTTGCCAGTTTTGTGTGTGGTTTCCAGTTTGTTCAGGGCAGTAACTCCAGATGGAGTACAATTCCATGTTACAGGTCACCCAGTACCTTCACCCAAGTGATCATCCGTCATATATGTACCTGTGAGCTTCAACAAACTTTCATGTAAATGGTCTCCAACCACTTCACAGTTTGAGATAAATTTGGATTTAAATAATAATAATCATTGTTATTATTATTAGGATTTGAGTGTTGGTATGTAGAAAATGCAGCAACTTATCCAGTACTAGAAATGCCCCACAATGAGTTAAATAAGTAGCTGGTTATTTGGAAATGAAATTGGATGACTGAGGGGTATAAGATAGCACAATGGCTCCCCTACCTTTTAAAAAAGTGTCTATACCAAAATAAGTTGAAAAGGAATGATGATCCAGTGNAAAAAAATTGCATTTAATACAAAAGGCAAAATGCTGCAGATGCTGGAAATCTCAAATAAAAACAGAAGATGGAGGAAAGTGAGTTAATGTTCTGACGAAACGTCGTCGACTTGAAATGTTAATTCACTTTCTTCTCTCCAGTAGATGCTGCTTAACTTCTGTTTTTATTACATTGAATATGTCTGCTTATCATGCCAATGCATCTCAAACATCTAAAATGTTACAATGGCAACTGGGTCACCAATGCCATTTGATATTGCGATTTGACACCGCAGTGACCATTCAATGGATGAGGTCTTTGACCCATTCAATGGATGAGGGTTTCTGTAGTTTACACAAACTTATCTGTCTCTGCTCTAGGAGTTCCTGGGTAAAGAACACAACCACTTTGCTGTTACATGTATACACCACTTCATAGCTACTCCTCTGCATGAAGTTGGGTAATAATAATAATAATCCTTGCATTTGATATAGCGCTTTTCACGTTGGAAGGACGTCCCAAAGCGCTTCACAGAACACACTGTAAAGTGAATTGACTGTATATTTGTGGGCGAACGTGGCAGCCAATTGCGCACAGCAATGTCCCACAGACAGTCGTAAATTGAAAATGACCAATTTATTATTGTTTTGGTTTTGGAGGGATTATTATTAGGTTCTGTGTGGAGTAAGGAAACTTGCCCAAGGTTTCGCCCTGCCTGGAATTGAACTCAGGTCTCTCACTTGCAAAGCGAGTGCTCTAACCACTGAGCTACAGGATTCCACAACAAAATGTACTGAAAAATATAATTACTAATTATTAATTGTATATGGGGAATTATTCAGGAAAAACTTCTTCATATATATCAATGTAACAGCAAACTGGTGGGGTTCTCTACCACGGAAAGCCCTCAGCAATACCTATACTGATAACTGTAGCAAATATCTCAGGATCCCAGGCATCAATCCATCCTATGATGTGGCCATTAACATTTCTGTATCAGCATATACTGATGTGGAGTCTGCCTTTGCAGTGCCCTACTCTTGCATCCTAAACCAGTACCTACATTAGAGTCTAGCCACATGAAGATGTAATGTTAATATATATGAAGAAGTTTTTCCTGAATAATTCCCCATATACAATTAATAATTAGTAATTATATTTTTCAGTAAATTTTGAGGTATCCTCCTGGACTGAAAGGTTCTATATCAAGTACAAAGATTATTAATAGCTACAAGAATTAGCACTCCCACTATTAAACAAAAAAGGCCACATAAGGATGACACATAATATATTCATGCAACCACTGAAGTATGACACCAAAACATAATAATTACACCAGTCATGCTATGTCCTTTTGACTTGGGTGTATGCAACTTAAAGGAATTTGGGAGGTGGGGCAATTGCATAGCAACTATACAAATAATAAGATCCTTGAAGACTGTAATGCATGGGTAATACATGTATAGTACTTTATAGCATTGTATTTGGTAAAATAGGTTTGCCCAATGTGAGAAAATCGGGAGTGCTGGTATGACGGTGGATAAAAAAGGCAGAGGTTGTTGCGTTGAAAGATGCAGTTTACATAAATAATATAGCAATATATTATTTACACTATTTCCATCAACTGAATTACAAAAAAAAGGATAAAAATAAACTAATAATGGATTTGATTGTGTTTGAAATACCGCGCTTTATCACGTTATTGAAACATCTCAAAGCACTTCATAGGATTTTAGTGTAAAGTGTTGTGTATTTATAACAAGTTATATTTATATAGAGCCCTTTATGTGGGGCAGTGTCCCAGAGCGCTTGACAGTGGCAGAGTCTGACCCTGAGCCAGGGGAAGAAGGAGAGGGAGGTGACTGTAACCACGATGAAGAAGGTGGGATTTGAAAGTGGGGAGGGAGGGGGCAAGACAGAGGGATTGAGGGAGAGAATTCCAGAGTTTCAGGGCATAGTAGCTGAAGGCATGGCCACCAATGGTGGAGCAGAGGGGACTAGGAATAAACAGGAGGCTGGAGCTGGTCGAGCGGAGGTAGTGGGTGGTGGAGTGGGGGATAAACAGATCGGATAGTTAAGGAGGTGCAAGGGCATGAAGGAATTTGAAAGCTAGTGAGAGAATCGTGAAATCAAAACTAGCAAAACAAATAGCCTGAATGACTAAAATGATCTGGAGGATTTGTGGCCAGGACACCAATAATAATAATAATAACAATAATCCTTGCATTTTGATATAGCGCTTTTCACGTCTTCTCGATGTCTCAAAGCGCTTCACAGAATATGCTGTAAAGTGAATTGACTGTATATTTGTGGACGATACTTGGCTGCCAATTGTGCACAGCAGTGTCCCACAAACAGTCGTGGATTGAAAATGACCAATTTATTATTGTTTTGTTTTGGAGGGATTATTATTAGGCGTGTGGAGTAAAGAAACTTGCCCAAGGTTTCGCCCTGCCTGGAATTGAACCCAGGTATCTCGCTTGCAAGGCGAGTGCTCTAACCACTGAGCTACAGGACTCCACCAAGAGAAACTCCCTTCTCTTTTCAACTACACTGTAGTGCAAATGGGATCATTAATATCCATCTGAATAGGTGTTTGGATTAGCAACTCATCCAAACAACAGCATTTTTGGCATCACAAAGCACTTTCCACACTGCATTGGAGTGTCAGTTGGACCTAGACTATGATTTTGCTGCATTTTGTAGGTTACGTGGTTGTAGAAACCCATCACCATGGTTAAGAGTATCCAAAACACGCAAAGTGTTCCCTATATGTATTCCACTGTGTCTGTAATGGAGCCTGTCCAGAGGGCCACACCCTGCTTGCCTAATGCTTAAAAGTATTAGGTACAGATTGTTGAGATTCAAGGCTTGGGGACGAGTTATCCAGCTAAAACCGTTGTTTGTCAATTACAAACCATGAATGAGAATCCTTCCTGCCGCTGGTTCAGCAAGGACTACCCCACCTGCCTCCAAGTGCTGCTAATGAGCAAGGCTGACTGGTCTGTCACAACAGTGCCTTGCGGTTCTGCGAATATGCCTGGCTCATGGCCTGGACTACCCAGATAGACGCACAGGGTTTCTAGGAGTTGCTGTCAAGCATTAAGATTGCTTTTATAGGCAAGCACAGCAGCCATTTGTGCCAGCAACGTTCCGTGCACATGTGGGATGTTGAGTGACCAATTAATCTGGAGGTTATTTAAGGCCCCCTTCACGAATTCCTTTATCTTTTCTAATAGTGAGATTTTTAATTGCCCCCAGAGTGGGCAGATGAGGTAGCATCACTTTAAGAATGAAAACAATTAAGAAAGAGCCAATGAAATAAAGACAGGAAGTACAAAAGGACACTTGGATTGGAACAAGTTGGTATGGATATTAGTGGATTGGAGTGTTTGAGTACAGAATAAAGAAAGTTATGGTCATACTCATACTTTGGATTGTGTATTATTACATGGTGTCAGAAATGTGACTATTGACTGATTACAAATTTAGTACTAGAAAACAAGGGACCATGGAACCACTCACCCAATCTTTTGTGGTATTAAGATCATTAAGCAAGACATGTATCTATGGAGCACTCAGAGAAGAAATGATTAAGGATAATAATAATTCTTGCATTTTGATATAACGCGTATCACGTCTTCGAGCCGTCTCAACGTGCTTCACAGAATATACTGTAAAGTGAATTGACTGTATATTTTGGGGCGAAAAGGATCAGATAGTGGATTGGGATCAGAGACAACACAATTAGCTTTTAAAACTGGAAGGTTCGACTTTGTAGACAGCATAACAGATAATAAATGTGGAAGAAATGACCAAAATGCACAATGAGGAAAAATGTAGAACAAGAAATGGCAATAGATGAAGTGAGTTAGAGGAGTATGAATGATTCAAATGAGGAGTACAGCAGGTATACAGGCCTAGATGGAGGCCAAATTCAAAGGAGACATGTGAGAAATGTGGACTAGAACACTCTTTCCAATGATGACCCAAGGATGGGAAGGAATGTTATATTTGGAATAGAAATGGGCATGACACAGGAAATGTAAAAATAAGCAACAAAAGCCTGACAGGAAGGAGGGATGTAGAACAATAGAGAGGTCTCAGGTGAGAATAATTCTAGGAAGAGGCAATACAGAAGGACAAGCAAACATCGGGGATCCAGGAGAGTACAAGTGCAATCGAGGCAAGGTGAATCACTGGGCAGCTCGGATGTGGAATCCACTATCTGTGATGAGGAAGAAAAATACAATATTGATGCAATGAACCTCCTAGAGAAATTGGATATAGAAGAAAGAGAAATAATGAATGGTATTTCTATGGTGCAAGACGGGGGGGAAAAGGCATATGATGTAAATTGGCCACAGGAGCACAAGCAAGTGTGATGTCAT